CATGGAGAAACCTAACACTCCTGAGGTTCATGAAGAAACATCTGATACAGAGGAGACATTCTTTGCTGGAATAGCAAGTACCGGTCCATCTAACACAGACCTTCCAAGGACACTAAAGGAAGCCTTATCACGTCCGGATAGAGAATTATGGAAGTCTGCCTTGGAGGAGGAACTCCTAAGTCTCAATACTAATGCAGTATATGACACTGTTCCACTTCCGAAGGGAGTAAAACCCATCACATCAAAACCTGTGTTCTGGATCAAGTTTGATCAAAACGGAAACATTGAGAGATACAAACTCCAGATTGTTGCACGAGGGTTTACTCAAAGGGAGGGGATTGATTACCAGGAGGTTTTTGCTCCGGTTGCAAACTTAGAGTCAATCCTTATTATTCTAGCCCTGGCAGCAAAGTACAACCTAGAACTTGATCAAATGGACGTATCCACAGCTTATCTCAATGGAGAACTTGAAGAAGAACTGTATATGCTTCCTCCAGGGGGTATTCCTATCCAACCTGGATACTGCTGGAGATTGAAGAAATCCATCTACGGGTTAAAACAAGCTGGTTGTACATGGAACAAAACCTTTGATCGCAAGCTCCAGGAGCTTGGTTTCACAAGACTAAATGCAGAAACATGTCTCTATGTATTCCGGGACAACAAACAAATAAGCTTTGTTGTTGTCTATGTAGATGACCTCCTCCTAGGAGCTTCATCCCAAAAATTCATGGATATCACAAAAGCCAAACTTGAATCCATATTCAAAATGCGGGACCTTGGAGAAGCAAAATACATCCTTGGAATAGAATTCCGATGTGATTGTTCAAACAAAACAATCTCCCTATTGCAATGCAAATACATTAACACAGTCCTTGAGCGTACTGGAATGAAGAACTGCAAACCAGTATGGACACCAATAGCCCATGGATCAAAACTCCTTGCAAATGCTCCAGGGGAAGATATTGTGCAACACGAGATGCATATTGAAGGGTGTCAAGTGTCATACCTCGCAATTGTAGGCTCCCTGATGTATGCTATGCTTGGAACCCGCCCAGACATTGCCTACATTGTTGGAATACTAAGCAGACATAGCTCAGCACCAAGGAGCCATCACTGGGAAGCTGCAAAATGTGTCCTCCGATATCTGAAAGCAACCAGGGACATGGAACTACATTATGATGGCACAGATGTTTCCATGGACATGGATTTCTATGGATATCCGGATGCAGATTGGTCTGGAGACCCAGACACGTCTCAATCAACATCAGGCTTTGTTTTTATCACCATCCGAGGAGCAATCTCCTGGACAAGCAAAAGACAAAGCATGGTAGCTTTATCCTCCACGGAGTCAGAGTACATTGGATTGAGCAATGCTGGACAACACCTTGCATGGCTTCGGACATTTTTTGAAGAAATCAGACATGCTCAAAATGGACCTACAACATTGCACTGTGACAATCAAGCAGCTATTATTCTTACACAAGATCCACAGTTCTGTGCTCGCACAAAACACATTCAACGGAAATATAATATCATTTTATCCGAGATGACTTAGTATCAAAGGGAGAGGCAGTAATCAGATATGTTCCTACAGAAGATATGTTTGCCAACATTCTCACTAAACCCCTCACTCACAAAAAACACTGGAAATTCTCTAAAGCTATGGGACTACGGTTGCACTCGAGTGGGAGTGACAAAACCGGATAAACCCGGTCTCTGCCAAAGCAGCCATTGTTCTCCATGGAGTCACCATTGTCCTCCTAGGAGCACAATTGTACTCCTAGGAGTCATTATACTGTAGCGAGTAGCACCTCCGCCTATAAGTAGTAGGGGGTTTAGTATAGAAATACCTCAGTCATTTCTATAGCCTCTCAGGCAGCGGCTGAGTTTCACTTAGTTTTATTACATATATGGTGGGATAGTGCCATTGCAAACATGGCCTTAACACAAGATATGGTCTGATGATACCCTTGGAACAAGGTCATTAACCTTTAGCTGGGACATGGCCCATATTGAGTAGTGGGATGATGCCCAGGGGGACAAGGTCCATCAAGTATAGTGGCATGGTACCAAATGCCATGAAACCATATGTGGGAAAAAGTCTGTCAAACATAGCAGGACTAAACCATGGGGCACAAGGCCCGTTGTGTTTGATGGGATGGTGCCCTGGGGTATAATGCCTTTAGATATGATGTGGGATAGAACCCTGGGCAACAAGGCCCATCGAGCATGGTGGGATAAGACCTTGAGATAATATTTGGGATGGGGCCCATAAAGCATGGTGGGATGATACCCATAGGGCCTGTGAAGCATTGTGGGATGGTACCCTGGGGAATAAGATCCACAACCAGTATGCCAGATAGATTCTATTGTGTTTTGTGAGATGATGCTATGAGGGACCAGGCCTTTAAATAAGGTGTGGAATAGGGTCTATAAAACATCATTGGATGATACCCTGGGGAACAAGGCCCACAACTAGTGTATGGGATGAGGTGTGACAACACCAACAAGGCACAGTCTTGGGGCACTGGAGCACAATGAAAACAACACTCAAAAGAAGAGGAAGAGGTGGGAGTGGTTACCCATTTGGTAGACAACAGGAGGACTTGTTGAGTCCTTCCCCATGTATTGCTCCTGTATATATACTAAAATACATGAGGTACTGTACAGTTGTAAATAGAGTTTAAAGTCCGATGTCTAGCATGTGACCGGTCACATGCTAAGTCTAGACACTGGTCAGGTGTTGTGTCACATGACTGGTCATGTGACTTGGAAAAATAAAAGTAAAAGCACAAAAAAGGTGAAGTGTAAGTAGGTACTGGTATGTCAATTGTAACATGAGGCCTTTAGCTAAAATGTGGAATAGGGCCCATCAAGTATGGTGGGATAATATATACCCCAGGGAGCAAGGTCTATTATATTTAGTGGGATCACCCTTGGCAGTAAAGCTTTAACAAAAGTCCAGGATAGGCTCCATTATGTTTAACAGAATAATACCCTTTGCAACATGTCCATCAGCCAGATCTTTGAGTTAATACCTTGTGTGACAAGGCCTACCTGAGGCAGCAGGTTATTAATGTGGCTCATGAATCATATGATGCAATAATGTTGTTCATTGACTTTGATCCAGGTTAAAAACAATGATTATATAGGTCAATGGGACAGGTCCTTGAAATATAGTATGAACACAGCATATCTAATGTTGCACATTAGGACTGTAATAAATGCCTTGCTCTAACTTTAGAAAAAAGCTTACTCAAATCACTTGAATGGGTTTTAATCACAATCTGGATCATGGCCTATTGAATATTGTGGGATAAAGACTCCTGGCCATATGAAGTGATAAGACCCACAGTCAGGCTGGGATATAACCTCAGCCATATTTAGGATAGTGTCAACAGCCAAAAATAGTATAGGTTTTCCTTGCATTCTGCAATATGTCAGTTTGACACACAAAGCACATAGAAAATACATCATATATAATATAATCTAGGGCCATCAGCCATCCAATTTTATTCACATCAAGGTTCAACTTTTTTTATTGTTCCTAAAAACACACAAGTGAAGACCTTTTGAAAAATAAAAATAAAAACTTCTTTATATTTCACCTACTGTCCTTTAACATATAAACACATCTAATCTCCAAGCTCTATTTCTCATCAAATTTACAATCATATTTTGCTCAAGACACATCTATCATTTATGATAATTCTTGTATTATACATATGTTCATCAAGAGTCCCAAGTATGTTAATTCTAGACCTACATCTACACTTCTATAAATAATGTCATCTCATCATTTTTTTTCACCACTTGTGAGTATTTTTGGATAAGGGTATTATCTCATAATCAATTACAGGCCATGGACCTATCCCTCATTCACCTCCAAAGACCAAGGTATTATACTGATATATTTTAGACCCTAGTACATGGTCATAAACTTTGGACCAATCCCCCATCAGTTTTAAGGACCAAGGTATTATCCTTAATTGGTTTTAGTCCCCACTATATAGACCTAAACTATAGACCAATTAATAAAACTAAGTAAAACTCAGCCGCTGCCCGAGAGGCTATAGAAACAACTTTATTATTTACCTAAGTGAAACTACAATAGATGTTAGTTTAAGGTGATCTCTAATAAATGTAATGTAACATACCTCAGCCGCTGCCCGAGAGGCTATAGAAACGACTGAGGTATACCTATACTAAACCCCCTACTACTTATAGTCGGAGGTGCTACTCGCTACAGTATAATGACTCCTAGGAGTACAATGGCTGCTTCGTCAGAGACCAGGTTTATCCGGTTTTGTCACCAATACCCTAAACACCTCTAAGGACCAAGGTATTGAGGGCTCTTAGCCCCATCCTTTTGGTGAAAATGATCAAGCTAAGAGCCCCCCCCAAAGTGGTCGCCTGAAGTGCAAAATTTGATAAACTCCCACCATAGGTGTCTTGTTGTATAATGCACAATGTACATTATCCACCTTATAGAATCCTCGTGGCCTGCTATTCCAGTAGCTATCTTATAATGCTGGTGCACACAACCTGTCATCATCGGAGTGGATTATGGTGAGAAGCAATGAACAATTTCATCTTGATTTCTTCATCTGACAACATGGAACTACATAGCACCACACGTCCCTGGTATGGCTTTCTTGCGTTTGCTGATGATGGCCGGCTACTTCCTGTCATCCTGTCATTGCTTATGATGTCCTATCTAGATGTTTGGCCAGGTCACAATGGTGGTTCATGTAGAATTACCATTCATGTTTGAACATTCTTGCAACTGTGGCTAGTCTGATATATGTGGGTCATTGATGTGCGGAGATTATAATAAAGAGAAACTTGACAGGTATCTGTAGTAGTTTTGCTAGTGATCCAACCTTACAGCACTTTCAGTGAGTCTAGCAGAATAACAGACAATATATAACACGATGAATAGCTGTACAGGTTGTATATAGTACTGAAATGATGATGTGATACATTGGTCAATATTGTGCTCAGGGTGCTTCTTGTCTGCATTGCAAGGCTGCCCTCTTTTCCTTGATCTTAGCCAATGCACTATCCTTCGACGGTAGGCGATGGGCAGAGTAATGATTCGGAAAAATTTGGCTAAGAGCAGAAGAAACCAATGATCAGCACATAGTAGCTTGAGGACTCAGAATTTTGGCGTACCAATTCCACCACACAAGTAGACTATTCACTTCATCCCTTTCTTCTGGCTCATTCAACAGGTTTAGCACTGTGCTATAGAATCTCTCTGAATCTGTAACAGTATCTGTGTGAGAAAATACCGGAGATAAGCTCAACGCAAAACAAACCTGGTGTAGTGAGCGGCTCAGTTGAATAAATAATACACATAACATCAAGGCCATTAGATATACCTGAGTTGAGATGTATTGATGCCAGTGTCACTTTTGTCATACCGTGGATGCGTGCATTTCCAGAATGTGTTCTCAATTAACGGAGCTTGGAGATGTGAAGATATGTTTATAAGCCTGTCAGCAAGTTATATAAACCCAAGCAACAAGATGTGGGACGTCATACCAAAACAAGAATTAGATTCCAAAATAACCCCTGCCAAGGATCTTCTGGATCATATCTATGGCCCTGATACAAAAATATCAGCTATAGATCCCCCAAAACCAGCATTTCACCATTCCTCAGCTTGGCTTTGATCCTATAATAGTGATTCAACTGTGGTGATTCTAGTTGTGTTGGAAGAAACTTACTCGGTGTTTTTCCAATCCAAGCCAGCAGGACAAAGTAGTGCGCTCGTTTTCTTGTGATTGAAACCATAATTGGTCTTCATATTCCGTGCCAGAGGTGGATGGAGGCACTTGCCTTTGTGTGTTATCCAGTCTAGAACAACACCTTTTAAGCCCTTTATATCATTGGATCTAGCACTAGAAGCACCCTTCTGGATCTAAATAGAGAATGAGAACATATGGGCGACATGGATAATAGACAAGGGCCAACCAGTTCTGCAATGGCTACAGTTTCCTCTGCATTGCCCTCCATCAAGTGTTCTTCTAATCCAGGGACCATGCGGAAAAATGATTGGAATATGCAAAATTCCTGCTTTTCCCTAAAGGTGAGAGGGAGTGAGTGCCATAGTCCTTTCACCCTAATTAATTAAAGACTCACTCAAATATAAGGTCTTCTTCATGGACATCAGCTAGTTCCCCGAGCCAAACTACTCCGTTCATGATTAATGCTTGGACATTGCATAGTGCATGGACAGTTTGTCCAAAATGGTGTCCATGATGGACTAATGGATCTGCATGGCACCTGTAATCAGAGTTCCTTGTGTCAGAGCCTGTCTCATTAGTAATTGACTGATGGTAAATAGACTCACACTTTTTTTCTGGGGCCCAGACAGAGAGTGTTCTCTTGCAGGCGTTTACCAGTGGAACTCGAAGTTCGGACGTCATCTTGGCAGTTGGATGATTCAGATGTGTCATGATTCCCTGACTGCAACATTTGGAAGGCGGGTGCACCTATGTGAAGTTGAGAGCAACTTCTGGAGAGAACTTTTCAAGTTGGGGATACCTAGTATCAATTAAGGGCTTATTATGTATTTGAGTACTGTGATGGATCCGAGTTTGAGTTTGTGGCTGGAGCGTAAAACACGAATATTTCAGTCTAATGTGATTGTAGCAGTAGTAGTAGATTATTGTAATGATTACATTGAATGTGAGCAGATGTACCTTACCAAGAGAACCTTAAGCTCCTGCTACCGGGCTACAAAAAGTAATAATAAAAAACACACCATAAAGTTTAGCAGCTGATGAGCGGTCAAAAAGCCTAAGCCTGAAGACATGCTGATACACTTACTGCAATTGCAGCAGTAAAACCAACACTTTGAGTTGGAGGAGGTCCAAATGGAGAGGGGGCCACACTGAAACATATGGTACTCAATTATTACAATAATGATTGATGAATTGTTGCTGTCATGAATATCAAAATTTCAGGATATACAAAAGTTTCAGAACACAAAAAGCAAAAAATCATAAAATTATACAAAATAGTGGAATTACTGCAGCTCACGTGCTGATTTTTCAGCTTTATTGGACAGTCTTCTCCACCATATTGAAATAATGGAGCAACTAGAGGCTATGGATTCCAAGAGCAGAGCGGATCATTGAGGATCACTATTTGCTTCTGAACACCCTCTACTCTCCAGCTCTACGGCGACAACGGTATTATAGACATGATATTGAGTTGTAAATCCAGAACTGTTATAAGGCTTTCAGAAGGATGATTATAAAAGCAACCAGATTAAGATATGTTACTTACAGTCGAGTCAAACACTGGTCACATTCCTCTTAACACTCTTAACCATCTAAGTCCGGTTCCATCATGCCTAAAGCTACACGAAAATGTTGCATTATGGCCAAAAGTAATCATAGTGTAAAATATACTGGTTTTTACACTGCTATCGAGCCATCTCACAACAGCACTGAAAGTAAGGCACAAAAGAAGTTTACGACCATCACCTACTAAGTAATGGATCCTAAACAGCACACTCCCATGGTGATGTCAGAAGAGACTCAACTCCTGAGGCTGGGACATCTGGGATCCTTGAAGTATCAACAAATGGAAAGAAGAGAGAAAACTCATGTTTTCATGCTAAAAAGAAAGATCATGGTAAGCACTCATATATTCAACAACATCCAACTCGAAGCTTACCCACCTCCCTGGTAGTTCGTGACTGCCTAGACCCTCCTACCGTCCCAACCAGATCACCCACAGTCCCACCCACAGAACTTAACGTGTTGGTCCAGATGGACTTGTGGTCAAAACCTGGCATAAACTTGGCAGAGTTCAAAAGGCTGTTTGCGAGTTGTACGTGTGGGGACTCATCATGGCACAAAGGACATTCACGTTGCACAAATGCACACAATATGTGACTGCAGGAGAGGGGAGACAGGAAATCATCAACTTAACGAATACCACAGACTCAGATACTGAGGAATAGGAGGCTGGGTGAGATGCTCGAGTAAAATGTGGAATACATGTGTGACATGTAATTTTGATTTATGTGCTGTGAAATGTCAATGCATCATTATATAAGGGAATCCTTATCTGCAACCAACCACCACTGACTGTGCTCAAAAATTTGTGGTCCCAATTCATGAGGGCTTGAACCTTGATATTAGGAAGTGAGGACGAGAGAACATCTAACAACTTGAAGAGCATGGGGTGACAACAGGAACAGCTCGTTCAAACTTCAGTCAGATATTAGAATAAGTCCCAACGCAAAATTAGACTTACTAGGAGGAAGCAAAGGTAGTAGAATTTGCAAGGGTTGAGCGTTGATATGACGTGTCCGAGTCAGAGTCTGGAACTTATGCAAAAACAAGGCCCCACATTGGCGCCCCATCTGTCATGATGAGGAAACTTATTAAATCTAGCTGCCATCATTGAGCGCTCTAACCCAGGTTGACTCAGATCATAACCAGCTTGAACAGGTGTGCGTAGTATAACTTTGCTCGTCTTCTATGTTTATGGTCAAGTCTTTCCATATCAGGGGGAACCTTGGGAATGTATCATTAATTCCTATGATTATTGACGTCGGACTCTGAACGTGAGGATCATTATGATAGTGGCCATGGCGTAGTGCTCTAAGTCTGGATAATAACGATTCAAATTTGCAAGGTTTTATTAAATTTCAGTCATCTGCACTTTCAAGTTCAAGCGTGAATTAAACGTAACATTACTAACATTTGGTTACCATGATAATGATAGTACAGAAAGTGCAGCTTGAATTGTAACTGGTACAGATAACTGAGACTGGGGATAAACTCAAAATGTCAATTGTAATGATAGCTGAAAATAATGCATATGAATGAATGCTGATATATAAAAAAAGACGACAGCACCGTTTTATGATGTCTGTATTATCATTACAACAACAGGTGTGACTGAAACAAAGACAACTCACATGTCCAGGTCCACCATGTCTGTTGTGGTGACTATCTGGTGCAGAAGAAGACACAGCAGCCAGCTGGTCATGGACCGTGTCCATGTCAAACTCTTCTACGTGACAAAAGCTAGAAGGGTAATGAACCAACTCAATGGAAGACCGTACAGGCGTCACAGGGACATCAGAAAGGCTATGATCACCCATTCATTAGTGCTACACCCAGCTTGAGTGAACTAAACTAAATACCCATAATTTAGCCAAAACTAACATCAAGTTGTCTGTATGAGTAAGAAATGTGCAATTAATTAGCAACCAGAGAAAGCAAAGAAGGAAAACACTTGCTGTTTACAATGCTAACATTTGCATTAAGCTTCATCATGAACATTTCCATGGTGTGCATCTTGTTCATAGTTGTAAGCTCATTGGTTATGCTCCTCAAGCACAGGACATGAATTCTGTCAACGGAGCCCTTGATTGCACCCAAAGTATCCTTGATGCTATGAAGATCCTCTTTCGTATTGCCCATACCCTGGCCCAAGTTTGCAACATTGTCTCTGATGATACGGACATTATCTTTTGTAGTCGCCAATTTTTCTCTATGCAATCGGTCAAAATGGTTGCATTCTTCTGTTTTACATGCCTAATTACCAAGTTGCTGGTCAACCAAACCGAAGTGTTGTGTGATACCATTGAACTAAGAGTCAAGATAGTCATCCACGTCGTTGAGTCTGGTGAAAAGAAAAAATCAGCCCATTAGATAAAACAACTTGACATGTAACTTACTTTGTTTTCATATCAGCATAGTCGAGATGTACATTTGCAAGCACCTCAGCAACACTAGTAACTTTTTCTCCATGACTGTCAGGAGCTCGAGTGTGAAATCTGGTGGCAGGAGGTTGGGTGGACATAGCAAATAATGATGTACAGATGAGTATTCTAGCGATGAGTAGAAATACAGAGCTTGGTTGGATATTTGGGGAATATAGTAGCGGGTACAATATTGGAAATCCAGGTTTACTATCTGATGTTTTTAATGGTCCATGAACAAAGTAGACCATTCTGGGACGAGAATGCACTAATCACAGCTCTCGCCCCCAGTCAACACTGATTTAGCAACTGGTTAGTATGTTGTGGCTCTTGCAAGTTTGGACTTGGGGCTGGTGTTCCTACCGTATACCCTGCATTTCCGCTTTTCTTGGATTATCCTCTTTTTTTCCCACCTTCCTTGGGGTTAAATTGCTCAACTTCTGGTCCACACTCGTCAACAGATCAACCAAAGTGGAGTGTCAACAGCGCATCCCACGAGTCTCCAAGTTCATGGAGCTTTCTGCAGTGTAAGTGACGGTGTGAACAGCCAAGGACAACATCATAGCCTTTAAATGTTATGTTTTAGCGTCCACAAGCAACGATACTACCTCGGCGTTGGCACAGTCTTTTTTAATGTTGATGAAAGTTCAAGTTGGCATCAATACCATTTTAAAGGTACAGAAACACAAGATAATGTACATGTCCTTGACGCTAGCGTTAATGCTAAGTTACTATGGAACAATTGAATATGCGGAGAACTTTTCATATACAAAGTCGTTGTAAAAGAGTCAGGCAAAGATAGGCCTGGAACAAAACACATGCATCATATAATAAGGTGGCGGAATATGATTCCTTGACCCAGGTGCTCCATGTCTCCAATGATATACTAATTGTTGAAGGTTTAATATCTCTGTGTCAGCCTGGTGGCATTGCTGAATGGTTGCCGCAAGATCTCCCTCGCACACTCGCAATAATGTCCGGTATTCCCTGCATTGTTGCTCAATGGCCATTCTCTCTGCAAAGCACTTGTCCAGTGATGCCCACGCAAAAGCAAGCAAGCGGATGGCATCTGACTCTAAAAAGTCTCTCTCCCGTAAGTTCTGAAATGAAACTTGAAATGAGTATAAGATAGAGCGAGGTAGTTTTGATAATGTACCTGAAAGGCTATATATTCTTTCGCGGTAGCAGCTGGAGTTGAGGAATGACCTGCTGGCAAATATGCATTGTCCAAGCTGTTGCCAGAAAAACAACAGAGATAGGCTCATTCTGGGTGGTAGGGACAGGGGTATTAAGCCTGTTACTGCTTGTACTCGAGGGGGATAATCTAACAGTTGCCATTATGCAAAATGTGAGGTCAAATGTCTGTCTGGCAAAAATTATCAGTGTAGTAGCTATAAGAGGTTGGTTTACTGATAAACAGACTCACTCTTACAAAATAAATGAGAATGAAAACAAAAGGGCCTTTTCTCTGTAGTATACAGGTGTAGTTGTGTTGTAGACAGTGATGGAAATGCTCTGGTAGTACTAGCCTAACAACAGTGAATAGAGTGGGTTTGAAGAAAGCATCTGAGTCGGAGACTGAGCATTCACTCCAAAATGACTTCAGGGTACCCTACACCTAGTATAGCATTCAGATGCAGCTGACTGATTACCACCCTGTCTTTACAAAAGAGGGCACTCGTCATAATACTATTGTAGTAGCGTTGTGAGCTTCACAAACTTATCAGCTCCACACTATTAGGTCAGAATTTTGGAATAAAGGGAAATATTGTATTTTTCTAACTGAGTATGCAAGCCACTGTCGTCATTACCATGATCATGCTTTTGAATTGTTGATGTTAACTGTCCATGTGCAAACTTGAACTGTAGGCAGTGGTACAAGATTCCCCCTTGAGTTACAGTAGGGGCCAGGCGCTTCAGGAGTTCAAAGAAACTTTGCATGTAGTGATTATCTACAATGTCAACCGGTTCATGAGCTTCAGTTAAAAAGAGAAATGGAAGACTGAGACTATCTTTACAAAATTACGGCAATTATCAGTGCAGAATGGGCGGTGGAGATTGTGGTGCTGGAATATGGCTGTGGAGTGATCTTCCTTGACGGTGAGCCAGAGTCTGACAGTATAGTTTCTCAATGGAACACCCTATGATTATCTGAAAAGGGACTACAAACATTATGGAATATGATATTATTTACTGAGTTGTTATTGTACCAATTTTCTCCCCAAGTTGGAAGTCGGGGTGGGTATTTTGCATGCCTCAGATCAATTTCCAAAAATAAAGAGCTGAGATGGGTTCAACACTGTAAAAGTCCAACATTTGAATTCGGGAATACAAGTGAAATAGTAACATGAGGAGAAAATGAGAAGACAAAGTTCAAACAAAAGAAGCACGAACTACTATTACGCAAATAAAATAGAATATGTAGGAGTGGGATCAAGCTGATGACACCACAAGCTATTGTTTTATTAGTTGTGTTTAAACTGTTGGGCAAAAGAAATACCGTGTAGCCATTGATGGAAGAAAATCTTCAAACAATCTGTGGCAAAAACACTCATTTTGCAGCTTTGCATTTAATTTCTCAGTCAACAGCGTGATAGTGGTCTGAATTTCTTGGTCAATATCCTCGTCTGTGCCTCCCGAGTGTCCTATGTTGGACTTCATTTGTAATACATATTTGGCCTGAAACAATAATAGGAACATACAGAAGTACAGCCAAATACAGTTACATACATTAGCAGCAACAGCAATGATTGAGCTTGGGTTTAAAACACTGCCTATGAATGAATTGTAAGAATGAGTACAGCCTGGTAATGCTTTTTGAGGGCGGCCCCTTCCAGTATATGTGGTGAGTTTGACTAAAATGAGTACCAAGTCTGGCGACTGGAATAGTTCATCCTGGGCATAATTGAGAGACAATTGGTGTTTGGATAGCTGAGAGCGCACCCCGACAACAAGAAAGTTGTCATCTTTTGGTTTGGCTCGAGCTCTTTCCTGTATTTTGTGGGGGAGAGGGGCACAATTGTCAATAAATGCTAGATATCCGAAGGGCTTATTCATATCGGACTTGACAATACGGGTTTGGTTACTTGGTTCCATGATCTTTTGGATTTGTTCTCATACAAATTTGCGAGAATGAACCATGGTCGAATCTTGAGAAAGCTAGTAAATTCGCTGTCAGTCACCATAGACATAGTTCCATGAGTGCAATACAGACCTTGGTCAAGTGAAACTTTTTCATGCAATAATCTATTGTTGATTAGTGTAGTAAGCCGTAGAAGCCATTACAATACACACATTTTTCAGACTCAAGACCTACTTGGTTGTAATGAGAAGAGATAGTTTACTTGTACTACAAAAGATGAACACCTACCAGACCCAACGAGAGTTTTAGCCGCAAGATTAAAGGCATCATGGGCAATGATAACACCTGACACTCCTGAGGCTAGGAAATCTTCATACAAAATAATCAAAGGATGGTGATGGTAGGCGTAATTAAGAATAATCCTAGATATACCATCAGGCATCTCCATCAGAAATCTCTACCATTGTCATCCCTATTATAAGCAGCTGATGCATGGGGATCTGCAGTCTAGGCCAGGAAGTTTGGATTAATAACAGAACTGTAGCACAATGTGGTAGACTTATTCACTAATAAACCAGATACTGTAGCCCAAGAGTTCTCAAACATGGTATGTGCAGAAGTTCGTTGGCATTGATCCATAACACTATCAGAGCTGGATAGTGCATCCGACATCCACATAGTGTTAGGTGGGGCACTGTCCATCCCAAAACAGGATAACAAGTGATCTTTATTTAGAACATTGGAAAGGCCATTAGAGAAAGAATCAGATATACAGTGATCAAGAGCCAAGCACACAGCTGTGTTCGATGGAGCTAAGTCAGAAGAAAATTCCGATAATGTTGGAGTGCAGGTGGCTGAATAAAAAGTTAGACAAGGTTTCCATCCAAGTCGTCACGCCAGAGATAGCAATTACATACAGTTATCAGACAACAAAAGATAACCCCCAATAGCGGGCCCAGCCCAAGGTATGTCAGGTAACAGCAAAGACGCAAACACAGCACCACTTGTATAATCGGGATCCATTTTATGAAAGCCCATGTCACTGTCTTCGTTTTGATAGTCCATTAAGGATGGTACTTGGGGAGGCCGCAGAATATTCCTGGGCTCAGAATCACATGTTGGTGGAAAGAAGTTGCAGGTGCGGAGGCATGGTTGTGAATTAAACAGCTCCCTGTGCATCTGAGGTGTGCATTGGCTCTCGGGAAAGTATGATGCACTACCAGTGTTTGAAAAGTCGCAGGGACCTGGTTGAGATCGAGAAGCTGGTTGTGAATGGATTGAATCAAGCGGCTGATCCCAAAAGATGGTATCTGAGTTGTTGGTTGCCTGATGAATGTTGTGATGACTTTGGTGCAAATAAGGTCATTGTGGATAATCAAATCTTCCGGGGAAAAATGATTCTAAGATCCAGCATGCGAGCAGCATTGTGATCAAAGCCGTTATAGTAATCTCGCTGATTGAAGCACTTGTGTTGCTGGCTCAATATTTGGCTTTGACCACAGGAGGTTGGCACTGGTGGTACTAAGTGCGAGTCCAATTGCTGATCATTCTGTGAGCTTGAATGTGGTGTTCTCAGTGGCCATAGCTTTGCACCTGAGAGCTCAGGTGGCCTCGGACCCGAGATTATAGCCTGATATTGCGACCACTGGTACGGTAAACCAGTGGAGTCCAAGTTGCTTATGTAGAATGGACTGCCTTGTCAGGCTATTCCAAGTGCCTGGGTTAAACTTTCCGAGTCAAGATCCACTGGCACCAGCTGGGAGTTTGACTTTGAACCATCATCTCCAATAGATGTGCTTTTGACAGTAGCAGCCTGTGAGTGAGTGGGCCATTCAGTACATTGAGACCCTAAACTATCAAGTCTACCACTTACACAGACGCTGGGGGATCGTGAACGAGGAATGGAAACAGGATCTGGTTCCAAGTTGTTTGCTGGGGCAATTCAAGTCAACTTGTGATGTAAAATCCTTATGACATTGTTGAAGTGGGACAGTACCTGTAAATATTGGGAAATGCTGCAAAGAAACAGCTGGCGAGTATCCTGACAATAAGGTTGCATACTTGGAACAACTGGCAGGAGGTTGTGTTAACTCGGATGTGTGGAATCAGCCATCATGATCATCATGATCATGGTTACCGTTGGCACAGTGTATCAACGGATCATCCCGGCAGTCAGTGAGCAGAAACTGTGACTCAGACAATGCCAGTGGCCACCATGACTGGTAGTGATTGTTGCGCTCGTTAGGCTCATTGCTACTAGTATGGATCATAATTGCAGGGGGTCACGGTGTTACAACAATAGTATAAGAACTATGCCCTTGGCATTACCGCCGTCAGAGAGCATTTAAAGCTCCAAAAGTGATTGCATAACCGTGACTGTATTGGTGAGGTAAACTTGAACTTATATGAAGTTTCTTGAATCCTTCTTTACTCGGAAATAGATGCTTTTGCCTAGTATATGTAGTACTGAAACTGGAGTTGGAGCTAGACTTGTGATATGATGTTCGGGGGACAGCCATTGAGCAAGAAAATTTATATTTATTTCCCTTCAAGTTGCTGTTAGTGCCATGATATGATGAAACCAGGATGACAACTCTGGTCTACTGCAAATCAGAGAGCAGACTCGCCAGACACGCTTCACCCCATCCACAAGAAAGGGCATTTCCTAATATAGGATATACAATCATGTCTGCAGCCCTGGCGGGCCACAGCTTTTGGTATCAGTACTACTACTAGTAGCTTTGTAGTTCGCTGCACTAAGTTGTAGGATATGGAAATATATATATATATATTATCAGTTAAAAGGACATATTTATTTTTCCATGACATACAAGGAGAAACACTAAATATTTGTATATTTTGTGTTTTGGTGGGGAAGGTTTTGGTTTTTGTCAGAATGGTCACATGATGCTGAATCATCAAAAACACATGGATCAAAATTTGGAGAAAACTTCAGAGGAGAGAAGGGAGGTTATTCAAAAGACACCGTGTGACAGACCTTTGGAGTGTGCCATAGCTAGGACTCAAAAAAGAGGATGATTTTGGAAAAAGAAGACCTAATCAAAAACTCACTAGAGAGATGGGAGGGTAGAAAAAATTCTTGGAGGATCACAAAACAAAGGGAGAGGTGAGGGAAAAAGGGGGAGAAAACTGAAGAGATATAAAGCTAAATTCTTTGCTTTCTATATGAGAATCATTGAGGATGTGCTTCTCTGCAATGTTGGCTTGAGGATTGTCAAGTTCCACATGCAGCTCACAAAGCCTCCACTCATAGGTTGTGACGTTTGCAGGCTCACGAGCTTGGTTGAGTTGCCACCGTGACAACATTGCCCTCCCGGCACCTCAATTCACATTGATTGGTAAAGACTGGGTCACAGCATGTACATACACAGGCAGCAAATGTAAAACAAAAGGATTACAGATTATGTAGTATATGCAACCAATCTTGTTCATCACATATGCTGGCAAGAGGGACTTCAAGTTGATGTGATGAGCCAGGAGGCAATCACAGAGTTGTTGCCAGTACGTGGATGACTAATTTGGGGAGCAAATGAAAATTTGAATGGAATTATTGTGGTAGTGTACATGTGGCAGTCATTGATAATATGGATCATTGGAGCAAGTTCCTGGTGCCATTTCTAGTGTCAAATTGTGGTTTTACTAAAATCTGGTAACATATAGTACCAGGAATACTACTAGCCCCTATTACTAGTAGTACTTCAAGTTGCAGCAGTGGGCCAAGCAAATTTCAATCCTGTCAAGTTAATGAATACTGAGGTCAATTTGTCTTTGAAAAGAAGGCTTGGCCCAGGGATACATTTAATAAATCATTAATGACCAATTAGTCACGTAACCCAACTATTTCATTTTACCCCAGGTTGTGAGTTTTTCATCAAGTCATGATGGTGAGGAGGTATCTGTTCCATATTTTATACAATCTGTAACCTATCTCTTAAAGTAAAGTACCTATTTTGAATCATACAAAATATATTGCCTTGGCAATTACTCCCCTGCTGATTACTCTAAGCTCAACAGACAGTCAATCCTCAGATACTTCTTGCCTTTGTACTCCTTAACTAGCTCTGGCATGCCAGTGGAAGGGCTTAAGGTCAGACCATTGGCATGGTATAGCTGAATTATGATAGGGGTGTTTGGGGGGGGGGGAGTTATGTATTTGACTAGCATGGCTGCAAACACTTGGTATTCCATCTCAAGGACATAACCAAAATCATCATGAGCGCTGCTGGAGTTTCAGAGTTGGCAAAGTTGGCTGCCTTGGAGGACGGTACACATCATTGCATGGCCATGAAAACAGTTGGGGGTATGTGAACTAGTAAGGGAAGCATGCTAAATATCCCATCTCATCAATCACAACTCCCTTCTCACAGCAAATGGGACAATATTCCTGTCTGGGTCAAATGGGGGTGCCACATGCTTGACGCCAACACAGTAGCAATGAAAAAAGTTTTGCTCTCACGTCTACACTTTATGGCATGCATCAATCTTTATTTCTGCAGCCATGTGTCTGTTAGGGCAGGGATGGTCGAGTTTTTTACTGTGTCATGTGGAGTGAAACATCTAGTGGCAATGGCAACATGCATTATAGTCCTCACCCCAAACATATTTCACACCAGGAGATGGTGGATATTGTGAAAAATAAATGGTATTGAGCCTGAGTCTGATAGGGTAGGAGCATCTGTGGAGATTATCACGGCTGGAAGAGAGAGGTACCAGCTGCAGCTCCAAGACATGAAGAAATCATCTCTCTTGTCTTTGCCTGTCCACTATCGCAATCTTCCAGATCCAGCCTTATCTGGGATCAGCAAGCCTTCAAGCAGAACTAAACACACTTCAGATAGAAATGAAGGGGATGAGCCTGTCAGCAAGCACCTCAGACTAACGCACATCCATAGCAGGCAAACAAAGTAAAAGGAGGTACTTCTTTTGTCTTTTATTTTACAATTTTGAACAAATCCTGAACTGTACCTGTAGAATGTCACGGTATTGCTATCAGTCACAGTGTAGTCTGTAGCTTTACATGTAATCTTTAGGTTCAATTATATAGAGTAGCCGCATATTTATAGAATTGATTTTTTTTATGGCTGAGCCAGTGGTGTCTCTTCAATGTTTATTATAGATGTTTTTTAACCATTGTACAGACCATACATAGACATCCATAAGAGCTTCACCATGAGTATGACTACAATGTAATTCTACTCTGGAAAGCAATCAAGTTGTTACCCTTTGGAGAGGTTGGACTCGGACCGGATTATCGGTGCACCAGCAACCATCAGCCCAGTCGGAAACAACAATTTGCCTACCAAGCCCAACCTATTTATACCCATTTTTTCCGACAATTTGGTGAATTTAGGTAAGATTCTTAACTTTACTGTTTCTCAGGATTTTTCTCAACTCCCATCCATAGCCATATTTTCACAACCATAGCAAAATGTACATAGGATGGGAATTGTTATCAATCTATATGATTTCTTACTTATTGAATTATAGAAATAATGTTTAAAACCATTCTCATTGAATTATTAAAAAAAATTGAATTACAAACAAGTACACTAAAAGACAATGCATAGAAAACCAAGATAAAAATAATTAAATTGAAAGTAAACAGATTGCACAACAAGCAAACAAATCTTACTGAAAGAGAACAAAAAAGAGAGTGAATTAGAAAAAATCCTACTGAAACGAAAACAATACCTCTATAGTACAACCAATCCTACTGAAAGCCAACCTCACTTAGTACAAACACTAGTATCCAGTTTCTAGATAAAAAAGCATGTCAGTAATATAATATAACACGCTGTAAAGCTTATCATGATGGCTGCTTTGGAGGCATAATCCTATGTATGAAATTGATATTATTAGCCTGAATTAAATAGACAAATAATTGAACATACCTTCCATTCCTGTAAGGGTAAATCTTTGAAAAAGGCCTTGAAATCAGATTTTAGTCCACCGGCATTCTTGTTAAGCCAATCCTTAGCGTACAAATTTCTTTGAAAAGAAGGATATACTATAAGTATCTCAATAAAGACAGAAGAATTACTCACTTCGGTGTAATGGTAGACAACACAGCCAGGAGCTTGGCTTTTTTTATTTTGCTTCTGAATAGCTCAGATTTTGCTGCCTTGGAGACCTTTGACAAAATGGTGCTTGAGTTGACAGGATGGGAATTAATGGATGACATAGCCATGATTGTCTCGATCGGCTTGCTACAAAGGCTTGCTGACAGATTTTTCAACTGTAAACTGTGTTAGCTAGAATGAATCAATAAAACCAAATATCCTACTCTAATTTTAAAAGCCTATGATGCAGGTGCAGTACCTGCAGCCTGCCAAGCAGATGTAGTTGGAATAGTTTTAGGGATTTTGGTGACTGCTTCCTCAGGAACCAATGTGGCATTGGTAGAGTTGAGATCCACGATGCTGATTGCTAAGTCACAATCATCGGATACCCTTGCTATCTTGCTTATGTGATCATTGGCAATGGGCAATTCATCCGACAATTCCAGACTATCGCACTTGCATTTTTTGCTGTCATTATTGTCATTATTCTTGGTCTTAACCTTGGATTTGCCCTCCTTTTGCCATCTGTACCATCCTGAGTAAGTTTCTGAGCAGGTCTTGCAGATTTTCTAGTTTGCTTTGCACCACCCCATCTCTGGTTATGCTGCCAGAAGCCCTTTGGAGCATTCATTTTGAATCACCATGCCAGCTCCAGACCACATTTCTGGGGCAGTACCTGCCTTCTTCAGGTCCGTGAAAAACTCTTGCAGCCATTGGCGAATATTACGCAATCAGAACCCATCAATTGGCACCCCATCAATGGGCACCCTATCAATGTCTTCCACATATAACATCCCAATGTTCACACCTTGGGCAATTTGAGAGCATCCACACTTCCCAGGGTTAGCAGGTTGTTCCACATCCTTAGGTTTGTTTTTTTTGTGCTTCAGTTGCCACCTTCCATTCTTCCTCAGTCCAAAATTTGAGGTTGGAAAAATCATTGCATGAATAAATTGGCAGTGTCTGTTACAATTGACGTACCAGTACCTACTTACACTTCACCTTTTTTGTACATTTACAACACCTGATCAATGTCTAGACTCATCATGTGACCGGCCACATGCTAAACATTGAACTTTAAACTCTATTTACAACTGTACAGTACCTCATGTATTTTAGTATATATACAGGAGCAATACATGGGGAAGGACTCAGCAAGTCTTCCTGTTGTCTAGCACAACAAACCCATTGAAACCTGAGGGGTGATCCCTCCTTCTCTCTTCTCTTATGCTTGTCTGAGTTGTGCGCCAGAGTAAAAAACTCTTGGTCATTACAGTGTCTAAATTTCACCTGCGTTATTGACCTTCTCCAAAAGAAGATCATATGCGTGTTTGTGTCTTTTCAGCATGTGATAAGATTAGATTAGATTAGATTAGACATACTTTAAACCTTCGTATTTGGCTGATATCGAGTTGATGTTGGCCTTGCTCTTGTCCAGATCTTGTAATACTTGTTGGTGGAGGTGCAATGGAATCTGAGGGATACTAATATTATGTTGACTATTAAATGTATCTGTACTGGTCCCCATAGAATACATTGTATTGAAAATATTTCCAAAGCCATTCATGCTGGGATTTGTAAGTGGGTTTGTAAGTGGGTTCCATGTGTTTGTGCCTAGACCAAGATCTCGAGGGTCATGGGAACCATGCAGATATGAAGGCCATGTCCTATTGTGCCTGCTCTGGGAAGATTGTGGCTGTGGTGATGGTGAGAAATCAGTCAGATCAGTTTGCAAAGACTCTGACATTGACAACAATGAAGGCAACAGCAAAGAGTTTGAGGAAGACATAGAGGACATAGAGGGAGAGAGAGAGAGAGAGGATTAGGGTGAAAAAGTATCCCAGGCATGTTATTCAGTTTATTTTGGGTAATCTCATACTGATGCACACAGTCACACTATTTCCCTCATCACATCCTTCTCCTATTCCCTTTTGTATGTATCTAATTCATGGTATATTGCTCTTCCACCTATTACTACACTTTCCCCCATGCGAATATTACCCTACATTATCCTGCAATAGAGCTTCATCATTGTCTTCTTCTGTTTGACCAGCCATAATACCAGCATCTAAACCTCGCTTTTCAACAGCAAAAGGCCTCGCCTCGCCTCTAATGCTATGTGGGACCATGGCAACAACAGATTGTATTGACTTCATATCAACAGTGTAAAGGGCAGCGTCACCTTGATGCTTGCAAGAATAGACTGTTGAAAATGATTGTTAAAGGAGGTCCTGATCGGGCTGAGACCACAATGGCACAACTGCAACTGAGTGTATCATGTCGCTAAACAAAATTTGCATGCAGAACAATACTTCAGCAAATACATTTTGCCATTTAAAACTAGCTGTAAGAATGATGAGATGTCAGTATAGATTGTCAGATTTTTAGGGGAAACTCACTTTGACATGTCTTGAAGTTCAAAGGCTGTGTTTCCCTGGAGTTTCTTCCCCCAAATGCTTCAAGCAATTTGAGCGGTAGGTAAACGCAATCAAGCCCATTTGCGCACATGAGTATTAGGCTGAAAGGATAACTGATGTGCTTGAGCATATGTGTTGATTGAATCTGCCTCATATGGTCGAAGAATTTGCTCAATACAGTCTTGCTTGTGAAGGAGTATATAGTGGTCATCAATCTTGTGGGAACCTTGAGGTAAGTGCTCTTTAGGCTCAAGATCAGGAATAATTGCTTTCAGAGCATTGACTTGCGCACGGATAACAGCCCTCTGAGATAAGTTGGTGTATGGATTTGAATGTTGCCGGATTTCCTGTCCCAAGTTGCCAATAGTGTGTTCCATAGTTCATTGGGATGAACAGATAGCTGAACCTGTGCAAATAACCTCGGAAGCAATGTGTAGGAGAGAATGAACTGCAGGGTGTACAAAATGAAGGTGAGAGAGTTTTTTTTGGTAGCATAATTTCTCAAACTCCAGTACAAAGTCAGTGAAAAGTTTACTCGCTTCTAGGATATCTTGTAATTTGATTTTATGCTGGTGCATCAATCGGACAGCACAGACTAACTTGCAGAAGCTGGTTCAGTAGATAAACGGCAAGATATTGTACAACAATGCAGGAGCAAGACCATAGATGTAGAGCAGGTATTCCCAAGCTTTGTAGCCACTGGAGACCTTTTTGCTGGGTCTCGAGGAAAACGGTCAAAGGATCCTGGGATGTGTTGTGCAGCATCAGCAACTGCTTGGCCATGTTGGGTCTATATATCATTTTGTAATACTGCCTATGTCCAATCAAGTTTGTTGTCCATAACATCACATTTGAAAGTTCCATGCCAAAGAGGAATCAAAAGGTCCGGAATATTGAGGGATATCAAGTGCATGATATCTAATCCCAATAAGTTTGGTAGGCCAAGGATTTTGCTTGATGAAAGACCCAAGAAAATATTTGGCCTGCTAATTCCAGTGTTGAGGTGGAGCTCTTAATATTGCATTTTGTTTTGAGCTTGCATGAGTTGTGCAAGTTCTTGGCAATACATATCTGGAAAGAGAGTTGAAGAGTCATTTGGATCAGGTAGGCCATGCGGATCTATATTGTCATGACTGCATCCTTTGACATTATAACTTCCTGATGGTTTCAGCAGAGCTGGACAGTAGTGGGTGCCTCCTGGCTTGTGTTTTCCTTTGAAGCCACAATACAGGCGACACCCATGCTTTCCATTGTGTCCTACCAGGCCATTCAGATAAACTATTCCTGGGCCATCTGCAGTTGCAACAGCGAGAAAAGGCCTTGAGGTAAATATGCGGCCTTGAGATGTATCCCACACGCAAAACCTTGTTTTTGGATTGCTGATAAGTGATGGAGGCCTGGAAACAGGAACAAATTGATATTAACTGGTTTGTTGGGCCCTGGGATGATACAGCCTGGAATTACATATTTTTTTTTGTAGTGTTTGTCAGGAGATATGTCAAATATCACCCAGATGTACATCCAGTAGTCAGATAACTTGGTTTTGTATAACTGAGCGCCGTCCATGGAGAAAATCAAAACTGTGTTGTCGGATTGATTGTAACCGTCTTGCACAGCACAAATGTAGTCGCTCCCGGCAAAAAAGTCATCATGTTCTTCGGGAGAATCCCCATCACTGCATCGGATCTGTTTGAGAATTTTTGCAGCCGCTGTTTCATGATGTCGCCTATTTTCCGCACTAGTTTTATCTCGCCAAAGCGCCTGTATCTGGGATCCAATGGGCATGGTATGGAACTGTTGAGTTGACACTAGTTTTTTTCCTTTACTCTGTTCAAGAATTTGTTGATTATAACGGGATATAGAGCATTTGGGACATTTGTCAAGATTGGAGAAGGGGCCTGTATAAGCAATACATGAATTAGGACACATGTCATGAATTATGGACTCGATACCTGTAAGTTCAGCTATGCAACATTTGATGCAGTAATATGAGGGGTTTAATCCTCATCTTGAGGATGCCTGCAATTGTAAGCATCTCGGACTTTATTGTAAATATCTCCGGATGCACTAAAAACAGCTCAATTGCAAAATGTCCCTCTGGTCCTTCAAGTTCTCATAAGGCTTCAGGGGGATATAGCGGACATTGTATTGCCTCTGGATCCATGTTTGTTTGGCTGTTGTTGAGTGCCGCATTCTTGATTGCGTTGATAAAGGACATAGCCATTTTGATGTTGTCTAGTTTGCTGAGGCTGGAAAGCCTTTCAAGGTTGCTTTCATCAAGTCCTTGCACAACCGGACAAGTTTTTTGGGGTTTTTGTGGTGGATCTTGAGCAGGAGGACCTTGAGGAGTGCTTTGAGACAACTCGGGGTGATTTTGATTTAATGTTGTGTCTTTTTGAGCCTGATTGTTGTGTACATGCTAGTAAGAACATAGAAATGAGTTAAATATTCACACAATAGAGTGGAATAGTAGTAATACGCACTTCTGTATCCTTGTGCATGTAAATACCTGTGGAAATTATATTACATAAGCAAACTTCAGAGCTTTGCCTGAAGTTTTACTCTGTGATTACAGCTAGCCTTTTGTGGCTATCATTGTCTTTTACATGATATTTACATATGTTTGTTATATAAAAAGCATGTATTTAGGTTGTTATGGCATTTGTTTGCCCCAGGAATCCTTCTTCTGTGCTTGTTCCCGCGCCCTGAGGGACCAAATATCCGACAATACCACTATCTCTAGCTTCAAAATCATTATTTGCCCCCAGGTCATCTTCAAGTCCAACTCATTTACGCTTTCTTTGACACCGTGCAGGTAAAGACGGTCCTGGTTGTTCTGGTAGCTGCTGTCCCAATGCAATGGCGTGTTCTCTGATTGCGTTTTGCGTCGATTTGGAAATGATTGAGTTGCAATACTTCTTGTGGTTGTAATAAGTCTTCTCAGAGACTTTTCGTTGTATGCCTTTGCATTGAGTGAAACAATCACAATAGAATTCTTTATGAGGGCAAATAGAGGCCATTAATGTGTAGCACAATCACACTACTGTTATCTTGTGTCTGATTGAGCTTCAACAATAAACTGATGTCAGGTTCTAGATTACTGACTGTGACTGTGGGAAATTGATTTTTAATTCGTTTTCTATGGATATAAATGGTACAAATGGTACGAAATTATGGCAATTTTGTTGTTTTTGACTGGGCATCAGCTTTCCTTCAGCTGACTAATCCAAAATTGTTGGTTTTCCGGCATTTCCCAAAAAACCAAAACCCGACCTTTACCACCAAACCAACAAAACATAATATTGATTATATTTTGTCTTTCACTCATCCTAGTAGATTGATAAATAATACTCATTTTATTATTATTTATCCCATCCTCCCAATAGTGAGCGGCCATACAAAGCTGTCTTAGCAATGGTAAAGTGACCGCAAATTGCAGCAGACCCCGGGCCCTTCCGAGTCATTCGGAAGTCTCTGCCAGTGCTTCGCAGAGAGCCGCACTCTTCTGGCCTTCCAATAGAGCAAACACTCACAGGCTCACCAGCTTGAATGCTGACTCTATTGACCATCAATTGATAAGGTCAACTTGTAGTAGATATTGATTGCAGTGACCTTATATAGGGGAGGGGGGGCTCTTGGTCATGGTGGTAACTCGGATTTGGAGTCACCCTGTGAGACCTATTTTATTCAAAGTTCAAATTGACATTATTGTACTAGTAGGTTAGGCCTGAATCAACTTGAAGCCGCGCTCCACTGTCACAATCATCTCTAAATGATCTGAGTCACCCTTGCCGCAGCTGGGTGCCTGTTACGAACTGTATTCACCATAGACTTTATTTCTCTTCACAAGTAGCTACACTCTGCTACTTACCTATACTTTCCCACACACACTGCCTGTTACGGTACCACCTGTCTTTGTTTGTTCAACACAAATGCCTACCCTAAAGTAGACACTATATATATAGGCCTGTATTGTAGTTACTATCTCCAATACAATTGTATGCTTCAACAGTGTAACTTGGTATTCATTAGTTGAAACCCTCATCATCAGAATATGTCTCAAACTCGTCTACAATGAGCTTATCAGAAACCCTTCACATATCAGAAACCCAGTGTTACCAGGCTTGCACATTCCAAGCGTAACAAAACAATTGTATTCTACACCGTTATTCCCACGCTTTCTAGCGAAGGGATGAAAAAGACGACAAAATGTCACGAGGAAGAAGACCCACTACCAGGGCACAGACCAGAGCAGAACCTACTCAGACAGCCACACCCCCAGTGTCGTCAAGGCAAGACAGAACAACAGCACCACCCCCTTTTCCCCAACCTGACGTCACCAGACTTCATATCAGAGAACAAGCAGACACATTTATTGAAGCTAGAACACGTTGGTTACAGTATTAGGCGAGAAGTCACCCACAGCTAATACCCAGAACCCAACACGATCCCCCAGTCTCGGAAGAAGACATCTACAACGAACAAGACTTTGAAAAATTCGCCGCAGAAGGTCAACCAGTACCACATCCCACACCTCGGATACTCCCCCCTGCACCCAACCCATCTCCCATTCCACCAACTATCACCATTTCCAACACCACAGCACCCAAACCTACCAAGTTTGGAATTTTGATGGAATGCCCGACCGAGCCAATGGCTGGATGTTGTCAGCCAAAGCATACTTTGACGTAAACGACACCATTTACGACTCCAACAAAAAGAAGGTCTTTGAAGCCCTCTCCCACATGGAGGAGGGAGCTACCCTAGCATGGAAAGAGACCAAACTGACGGAATACACCGGATCGGGCAAATACCCGAAATGGGCGGACTTCGAAACCGACTTTAACGGAACATTCATTACTGTGGACGTAAAGGGAGCGGCCAGTGCGGCCCTTATGGTGATGAAAATGGAAACAGGAGAAACGGCAGTAAAGTTCAACTCCCGTTTCATGGTAGACGCAGGAAAGAGCGGCTTAAACAACGAAGGACTAATCATGGTGTACAAAAGCTCCATATGCCCATACCTTCTTCAAAATGTACTCAACTCCTCTACACAACCCAAAAATATCGCAGGATGGATGAGCACAGTTGCTGGCCTAGACGCCAACTGGACAAACTCAAACAGCATCAGCGAAGGAAAATGGGGAAGGAAAGGAGAAAAGAAGAAAGAGGAGAAAGGAGGAAGAAGCCAATCATCCTCGGCAAAACATTTATCCAAAGATGAAGAAGACTCGCTCAAAAGAGAAGGGTGATGCTTTATATGCAAAGAACAGGGACACATCTCACGGTTCTGTCCGGAAAAGAAGAAAGGAAAACAACCGGATCGAAGGATCAGAACGGCAGAAGTTGAAAAGAATGAAGCCGAAACGGTGGTAGAAGACAGAAGAGGAATTTCTCACATCCTCAAAATGTGGAAAAAACTCAACGAAGCAGATCGAGCCAGCACCATTGACGAATTGGAAAAAGAGGGTTTTTGAAAGGACAACCCACACCAATGTTGGTACCATCCAAAATAGCCGTTGTAACAATAGCCACGATCAATTCAAACTCTTTACAAATTGATACTATGTTACGACAAAAAACCATTGGAACAAAAGCATTAATAGACTCAGGGACGCAAAATTCGCAATCAAACATCGCCTACCATTCAACAAACTGGAAACACCCATCACGTGCAAAAACGTAGATGGAACCATCAACAACGGAGGAAAAATCACCCATTACACATATCAACGAATTGAAGCAGGAGGAAAGAATGCCATGTGCAAATTCCTCATCACCAGATTAGGAGGAGAAGACATTCTCCTAGGATACCCGTGGCTCCACAAGGTAAACCCCACAATAGACTGGACATCAAAAAGTGTGGATACCCAACATGCCATCCACACCATCCAATCACTCTCCAACCGATCCATGATTTGCACCATCACAATTGATCGACCAGAACTATTGATCAACTACGTACACAAAACACGGATCTTTGCAAAAACCAACACGGCAATGGAATTAGCTATCCAGAATAACATTGAAAAAAAGATAACGGAACTACCCGAAATCTACAAAGAGTTTGCACAGGTCTTTGACAAAAAGGCTTCGGAAAGACTACCCAAAAGAAGGATCTACAATCACGCCATAAACCTAAAACCGGAGTTTAAACCAAAAGATTGTAAAATCTATCCTTTATCGCCAAAAGAAAACACCGTGCTAGAAGAATTCCTTGACGACAACCTTCGAAAAGGATATATTAGACCAAGCAAATCTCTAATGGCTCCCCCCTTCTTTTACATAGACAAAAAGGACGGATCTTTGCGACCATGCCAAGACTATCGACAACTTAACAAACAAACAATCTGAGATCCTTACCCACTGCCCATGATCCCCGACCTCATAGACCAACTCCGTGGAACATCCCACTTCACAAAATTAGACCTACGTTGGGGATATAACAATGTCAGGATAAAAGAAGGAGATGAATAGAAGGCGGCATTCAAAACCCGAAAAGGACTCTTTGAACCCACAGTGATGTTCTTTGGCATGTGCAACTCCCCGGCCACCTTCCAACACATGATGAACGACCTCTTTGCAGACATGATAGACGAAGGATGGCTTATCATATACATGGATGATATGCTCATATTTAGCAATGAACCAGAAGAACACTACCTGCGGACAAAAAGAGTATTGCAACGCCTAAGCGGAAACAACCTATACCTGAAACTAGAAAAATGCACGTTTGATGTAGCCGAAATCGAATATCTCAGCATGATCGTCTGTCACAACCAGGTGCAAATGGACCCAGTAAAACTGGCTGGAATCCAAAATTGGCCTACGCCGACCAACATCCACGAAGTGCAAAAGTTCCTCGGATTTGGCAACTTCTACCGCAAATTCATTGGCCACTACTCGGAACTCGCTAAATCGCTCAATGCCTTACTGGAAAAAGGGAGAACTTGGAACTGGACAAAAACCGAAGAAAACGCATTTGCGCTGCTGAAATACCGCTTTAGCAGATCACCGGTCACTCAGATACCCGATCCGAACAAACCGTCCCAAATTGCAGCAGACGCATCCAAACACGCAACTGGGGCGGTACTAAACCAGCCAGATGACAATGGAGTATGGCATCCATGTGCCTTCTTCTCCAAAACATTGTCCCCAGCCGAAAAGAACTACCAAATATACAACAAGGAACTACTTGCTGTCATCAGAGGATTGGAAGAATAGAAACATTATATCCTAGGCAGTGCCCACACAACGGAGATACTAACCGACCACAAAAATCTCACATACTGGCAAGAAGCCAGAAAATTGACACCACGACAACGACACTGGCAACTTCTACTCTCCCAGTACAACTATACCCTGAAACATGTACCAGGAACGCAAATGACAATCCCGGACAATCTATCCAGAAGACCAGACCTGTACACAGAAGAAGAAGAACAAGACACGCCACTACTCCCAAAAACTGTCTTCGCCGCAGTAGCAACCACAGATCCATTTTTCACCAACATACAAAACAGTTTACACGAAGGGAACAAATTACCAATGCACTTGGATCCCAAAGATTGGACCATCAAAGATGACAATGTGTTCTACAAGAACCACCGTTATAGAGAAAAACATGTATTCAACAACAACACGATTTGGTAACAGCCGGACATCCTGGACAACTGAAGACAACCCAATTAGTAACCAGATATTACTACTGGCCAGGTATGTCACAAATGATCAAAGACTACGTCACAGGATGTGCCACATGCCAACAAAGCAAGGCGATTACCAATCCGATCAAAATACCCATCCAACCAATTTTGGGCCCGAAAACTACCAAACCATTCAAAAACCTTTCTGTTGATTTCATCACAGATCTGCCAGAAAGCAATGGATATGACAGCCTCATGGTTGTGGTGGACCACGGCCTTACAAAGGGGGTAATACTATCACCATGCAGGAAAACTATTGACGCATTAGGAATGGCTAAACTATTTCACCAACGTGTGTTCAAAAGATTTGGACTACACGACAAACTCATATCCGATAGGGGATCACAGTTTGCATCAGAAGTTACCAAAGAACTAGCCAGATTACTCAAGACTGGAGTTAATCTATCGACGACATACCATCCCCAATCTGATGGAGAAACAGAAAGGGTAAACCAAGAGATAGAAACATATTTACGGATCTTCTGCAACAATTTACCACACTCCTGGACAGAATATCTCACAACGGCAGAATTCTGCCACAATCATAGACCACATTCGGCACGAAACAAATCCCCATTCTACCTCATGATGGGATACCATCCTAGAGATCTCCCCTCGACACCAATAACAACCAACATACCGGCCGTAAGCAAAAGACTATCCAGTTTACTAGAAGCAAGAGCCATAGCCTTGCAAGCTCACGAACTAGCAAGAGCACGCATGCAAAAATACTCACAACATCCATTACCCACGTTTACAAACGGACAAAAGGTTTGGCTAGAAGCAACTAACCTAAAGAAGAAAGGAACACCCTACAGAAAGTTCAATTGGAAGCGAGAAAGACCCTTTATAATCCTCGAAAAAGTATCACCGGTTAACTACCAACTAAAACTCCCAGACGTGTGGAAAATCCATCCCGTATTCCACGCCGCCCTTCTAACCCCGTACAAACAAACCAAAACCCACGGAGAAAACTACATCAGACCACCAGCAGAGATAATCAATGACCAAGAAGAATACGAAGTAGAAGTAATTCTACGTAACAAAAAGAATTGAAGAGGATACCTATATTTAGTCAAATGGAAAGACTACCCATCGGCCGAAAACTCTTGGGAAGAAGAAGCAAATCTACGGAATGCTTCCGAAATCCTGAACAAATATAAAAGAAGACACAAACTGTGAAACAAGTCAACAGGATTCCCTCTCACAATCACCTTCCAAAAATACTATGTCTCAGACCACACCCATTGACCAACAAACTCACTCTCCCTGTTTTCCCACATACCTTGCCGAACCCCAAGTACTCACTGAAGCACAATGGGCACACCGCCTAGCCCTCACTCGTGAACAAACCGACATCATCGATGCCACCGAACTGATGTCAGATAGGTGCGCATACTTCTACCTTTTTCACCAGTCTAACATTATATGCCCTACTGCCACATACCCACTGGACACATTTCATCATTGGCAAAATGCACTCCTTGTTGCTGACAAACTACACGCAGTCACCGTCTCACTGGGTTTGTTGGTAGACGAGCTTACATGGGACAAAAATTCTGTATTGAGTACTGGAGCGGCTTTGCTCATGGAACACTTGCAGATAGAATCCCTGGAATGACGCTTGAGGAAGAATTGTGAGAATGGAGAGAAAGAAGCAGTCAAAGCATTCCTATGCCTAGGTGGCCAAACCGTATGCATCAACACAAGGAACCTTCTCGCTCAACAAGGGTACCTCACCTCCCCTCCCCCAGATTTGCCGAGCCTTCCCGCGACAACGGGGCATCCTTTTCCAGGTGGTCACCCCCCAACCTCACCGCAGTCGCCTCAACTAGCATATCCCCCATCTCCGCCAGATCTTGTTCTACCCGTGCCCACTCCATCATCCCCAACTCGTTCCTTCACAACCGACTCAATAGTCCCCGTAGCCAACGCAGTAGAAGAATTGCAAGCCATATTGATTCCCACACGTCCAACAACACCCCTCCTCCAACTCCCTCCACCTCGCCGCAGTCGCTGATTACACAGCCAGCGCCCAGAGCGGGTACTCCTTATCCCTTCGGGGTGCACACCCGCTCACACAAATTGCTCTCTGGAATCGAACAAGAGGTCGACACCCACGTCGAGCAACGGGTCGCCTCAGGTTCGAAGACCATCGAGGAACAATGAGGGAACCACCTTGGCTTCTCCGCGTGGGAGCAAAGGACCCTCACCCCGCTCCGATCACTCTAATCTTCATCATTCACAATCCTCTTCTGAACAACGCCGTCACCCTCGTCCCCAATGTTGCTATGCCTGTCAAGAATATGGCCATCGTGCCATCTACTGCCGATACCATACCTGCTCTATGTGTGGTTTAGACGCGCCCGGACACCGAGCTAATGAGTGCAACCAACAACGCAATTTACCTTTTGTGGCAGACTCTTGGGGATTGGATGACGAGCACAACGATCTTGACGAAGACTCACGATACAATGTAGACGGAGAACTAGGAGACTTCAGAGCAGTCTAAACCTAAAAAGGGGGTAATGTTACGAACTGTATTCACCATAGACTTTATTTCTCTTCACAAGTAGCTACACTCTGCTACTTACCTATACTTTCCCACACACACTGCCTGTTACGGTACCACCTGTCCTTGTTTGTTCAACACAAATGCCTACCCTAAAGTAGACACTATATATATAGGCCTGTATTGTAGTTACTATCTCCAATACAATTGTATGCTTCAACAGTGTAACTTGGTATTCATCAGTTGAAACCCTCATCATCAGAATATGTCTCAAACTCGTCTACAACGAGCTTATCAGAAACCATCTATCCATCAGAAACCCAGTGTTACCAGGCTTGCACATTCCAAGCGTAACACATGCTGTCTCTCAACAACTCTATGCCTCCTTCATTGCATAATCATATTATTGATAATCTGGTGTTATGTTTGTGTCCCACAGCCAATGTAACAACCAAGAGTTGGTATACTGGTGCACAACTCAGACAAAGCTATAAAGAAGTAAGGGGAGTGGTTATCCTTTAGATAGGACTGAGTTTGTTGTGGGTAAACAACAGGAGGACTCGCTGAGGAGTCTCCTTGATCTATTGGGGTATATATAATACTACAGGTTGTTTGTACATGTGTACTATACAGTTGATGAAGGCAGTGGCTGATGATGTCATGGGGCACAACCCATGTGACTAGCAACACTGCGTGAGATACTTGTAGCTAAAATTAAAGAAAGGCAGCACAGCGCAAGAATGAACAAAATGGAAAGTGCTGTATAGCACAGTGTGTGAAAACTACAGAAGAAAGGTAAAGAGGAGAATGAAACTTAAAGGTCCAGAAATTGTGTATCATAACACTACCCCCCTTCTAAGGCTTGAATTCCAGGCAAAACCAAGTTACGGAGGTAGTAGTTAAATTTTTGGGCAGAGGTTGAAAAAGAGAATTAAAAAGGGTTGAATCCATGCCTCTAAGCTTCCTAGGAGCCGAGGGAGTCTTAGAATAAAATTCTTGGACAGCATTGTAGGAATTGTCCAGATGGGCTTCTGGTTCCCATGTTCTGTCCTTGTCTCTATAGCACTTTCATAGGACTAAGAACTTCAAAATTTCACGCTTCAAGCGTGCATCCACCACTTGTTCGACTTTGAACTCTTTTTCACCTTTCTGGGTGACTATAAATGGTCCGGGCCGGTCTATGCACTGTCCCGGCAGCGACCCTTTGTAGGGTTTTACACAGCTGATATTGACCGTGGGTACTACCCTCATTTGTGTTGGGAGTTCCAGCTACACTGCATTGGGTTTGACTTCCTTAATCTGGTAAGGACCAATCCACTTTTTGGTCAGTTTTCTAGACTGCCAATCTTTTAATTTTAAGTGGTCGGTATCTAACCAGACCAGGTTGCCGACCATGTAGTCAGGGGCCTTAGGGCTTCTATGCTCTGCCCTGTCTTTCATCTGCTCTGCAGTTTTGAATAGTGTCTTGCGTGTTTCGTTTAAGACAGACTTTATGTCTTTTGCCATGTTCCCTTTTGCTAGGTTCTACACCTATTCTGGGGAGGTATGACCTTGTAACCTCAAATGGTGCCTTTCCTGTAGCCGATGACTGTTTGATATTGTATGAGAACTGGGCTATCTTTAGCCACTTGGCCCAATCTGTCTGCCTGTCATTAATAAATATCCGGAGGTATTGTTTCAATTCTTGATTGAGCCTCTCTGTTTATCCATTGGTCTGCAGATGGAACACCATTGATAGTTTAGGTTTGATGCCCAGCATCCGGCATAATTCTTTTGTAAATTTGCTAGCGGATTGTGGCCCCCTGTCGGAGATAACCATTTCTGGTAACCCGTGGATGGACCATACAAAACCTTTAAATAAATCTGCCGTACCAGCGGCTGTAATAGTTTTAATGGTGGGGGTGAATACTACTTCTTTGGAGAAGCAATCCAATACCACCATTTACTAAATCATACCCGTTTGATTCTGGTAGATCCATTGTGAAATCAACAGATATATCCTGTTAGGGACCAACCGGTATTGGATATGGCATAAGCTTACCGGCCAGCGGTTGATGCAAGTTCTTGGCCATGGCACATCTTAGATAGGATTTCACCTATTCCTATACATCCTTGAACATGCCAGGCCACATGTAGTTTCTGGAGATCAACTCCATTGTTTGTTGCCACCCAGGATGCCCAGACACTGGAGTGTTGTGATGTCTATCTATTGCCTTGATCCTTGCAAACTCAGGCACATAGATTTTGTCTTTGTAACAAAAGAGCCCATCTTCCCATAAATAATGTAAATTGCCATCAAGGTGCGCCTTATCTTCTGAGGAAATATCCCTTTTGAAGACTTCTAGAAGATTGGAGTCTTGCCCAATTCAAAAATTGGCAACCCCGGATTGATCTATCAGGGTAACACCTTTGTTGTGATCTTCAATGCCGTTGACATGATCCTCTCTTCTAGAAAAAGTGTCTGCTTTCCCCATAGAAGTACCAGATTTATGAATTAATCTATAATTAAATCTTGACAGGTACACCACATAGTGGGCCTGTCTTCGGTTCAAGTCTTTGGCTGTCATAAAATACTCCAGATTTTTATGATTGGTCCAAATTCCAAATTGGTGCCTAACACCTTCTAAGTAGTGCTGCCAGTGCTCTAGAGCTCTAATGATCACCAGCATCTCCTTATCATAAATTTGAGAGTTGCACTTTGTGGGCGACAAACTTTGGGATAAATAGGCACAAGGCCTCCAAAGATCATCAGGACATTTAATTGATAGAACAGCCCCAGTAGCAAAATCAGAAAAGTCGGTTTCTAGCCGGAACTCTTTGTCTAATTCTGGAAATGCTAATATGGGTGCTGTTGTGAATGCCTGCTTAAGCTTATCAAAAGCTTCTTCTTCTTTGGCGCCCCAGTGCCAGACAATGTCCTTTTTTGTGAGATTGTTCAACGGTCTCATTATTTTTGCAAAATTTTCAACAAATCTTCGGTGAAATTTGCCTAAGCCAAGGAAGGCCCTAACTCCTTTGACGCGAGTAGGTTCTGGCCAATCCAATATAGCTTGAACTTTTTCAGGATCCATTCTGATTCTGTCCTGGCCAATTATCATACCGAGGAAGTCTACTTCCTTCACTTTAAAGTTACATTTTTTGGGTTTGACAAATAGGTCCCGTTCCTGTAAGCGTCAAAGGACTTCTTGCACAATGCTGTTGTGCTCAGCCTCATTGTCTGACTTTGTGAATACTAATAAATCCTCAATGTAAATAATGACACAGTCTTCCATATTTGCAAAGATCTTGTTCATCATGCTCTGGAAGGTTGCCAGTGAATTAGTCAACCCAAAGAATATGACAAGGGGCTCGAAGAATCCCTAGTGGCATGTGAACGCGGCCTTCCAAGCATCGTCTTCCTTGATGCGTACATTGTTGTACCCCCATCTAAAATCCATCTTTGTTAGGATCTTGGCGCCAGCCAATTTATCTACTAGCTGACTGATCAAAGGCAGCGGATATGCATTTTTAACTGTGTACTCATTTAAGTAACAATAGTCCATAATCATACACTTTTTACCATCCTTTTTAGGAATGAAGAACACCGGGGACATTATAGGGCTTTTGGAAGGTCTAATGTAACCCTTCCTAAGCTGTTCATCTATGAAACTTGAAACCTCATCGCTTCCTGGAGCAGAGAGGGGAATAATGTGTCCCTTTCTAGGTCTGAATGTCTCTTTCAAATCTATAGCATGGTCCCAAGGCTTAGCCTCTGGGAAGTGTTCTGATTTATGTTTAGAAAAGACTTTCCAGAAGTCATGGCACTCGGGAGGTACCAGCCTCTTAATCTATTCCTCAGGTTTTACCTCATCATTGCCATCGTCAATTTTATCCAAGGACCTAAGCTTGGCATAAACATGACCAGTGTTTATTCTTTCATCAAGCTTTGTTTGCCGGACGTGACACAATTTACCCAAGTCATCACACTCCTGAGAACAATGTGACAATGTGACAACCCCTATCTGCCAGTCAATCTCAGGATTGTGTTTAAAAAGCCAGGTCCAGCCTAAGATTAAATTAATCTTCCCTAGTTGGGTAGCTTTGGCGGTGACTCGTTCTCTGTGTCCTTGGCACTCAACAACAAAAGAACATTTGTGCGTGATACAGCCACCCGCGTTAAGTGTACCGTCAATGTTATAGACAGGAATGAATACATCTAACTTGATGAGGGGGAGTCCAATTTGCTCTGCCCAGACCTGATTTATGAAGATACTGGTTGTGCCTGAATCAAACAGTGCGCTGGTTGGGTGTAGTATACCTCGGGCAAGGTTTTCCACGCTGTTGATGATGAGAACTGTTGTTAGAAAACCACACACAAAAACAAACTAACACACAATCCTCCCAGATTCCACGGAACTTGTTTATGGGCTTTGCCTCCTAGAACAGTGGGTGCTCTGGTTGTTCGTGGGGTGGTATGTATGAGGATCCTTCAAAGTAAAACCCAGAGATGTATGGGTGTGGGTTTTAAGGAGGAGGGATAGTTGGAATATAGAAAGATAGGGGCTTTGTGGCGAGTGTAGACAGGCACTACCTTGCTAATTGTAGCACAAGGTAGGTTTGAGAACGACAATATAACAAGGTTCCCAGTGATAGCAGGCTTGTGATGCACAAACTATAGTGCTCAGAAGGACTCTAATCAAAAGGGATGACAATAACTTCAAAAGTGGGAAGTGATGATGACAGCAGTTGACAGTGGTAGCAGTGGGAAGTGTTGTGACCACACTGGATCACAAGCAGCAGAGTAGTGAACTTGAAAATAGAGAAGAAGTCTGGAATTGAGTTTTTGTTCTTTACAAGGTAAAATACAGGGGTTTATATAGTAAAAGAAAAGTAGGCTATGCACAGTATAGCTGTGCAAAAAGAATGAGAAAGAACATGAAGGAAGGAATGTACGCTGACAAATCCTGCATAGGTAGTACAGGATAAGGTTGTCAAAAAAAGGAAAAGAAAGGGATAGAACAATGAATGCTGTGAGTAATGTCACAGGTTTGTACAGCCATAAAGTAAAGTCCAATAGCAAAAAGAGAGCAGGAAAATCATGATGTCATGGGAAGATACAGGTAAAAAAAGGGCAAGGCAAAACACTATCAGTATCAACACAGTTCCTTTATTGGCAGTCAGGCATTCTAAAAAATATGTGTCCATAAAAATGATTCAAAAATCAAAAATAATCGCACTGTAAATGAATGTTCTACTGAAAAAAAAGAAACTGGAGCCACTGGTCCACCACCTAGTCCAAATCCGACAGTTCCATGGCCTCACCAATGGACTGGTTGTGTTGGACCACCTGGTCAAACAAGGGAGGGAGAGGAGTAGTCCCAATTTGGAACAAGTGAGTCCCAGGCAGCGTGTGGTAGGTGTAGCTGTAGCAAAGACGATGGACAAAAGATAAGTGTACCCAAGTGAATGGGACAGCAATGAACATGGGCAACGCAAGGGGATGAACCTTCTCCAGCTCAAAAACTACCCACCCACGCTCCAACCAGGCAAGATGAGCGACCAATATTTTGATAGTATATGATGGTAGATCGACATCATAAAGATGGACCTGTTGCCCTATTTGAACCAGCCGCCGGGGCTTTGCTGATATCAGCAGTGGCACATGGTAGTCAACGGATCGGCAACGGAAGCAGATAGGAAGTGGTGACATCAGAAATGGTGGGGGTGCAAATAAGATGAGGAGGAGGAGGGTGGAGGTGACGAAAAGGTGGATTAGAGTGGGGATCCAGAAACGACCATCAGGTGAGAATAAAAAGGAGAGGAAGGGGCCCATGGTGGGGCTAGGCAAAGGAAGGGAAGTGAAGGAAACAACAAAAACGAGGGCGCAATGCAATGTGTAGCCAGTGGCGACGCAAAAATTTGCCGAAATACCGAAATGCGGAAAGTACCAAATGGAAAAGCAAAGGTGAGCGTGACTGGATTGCTATTTCACGTGGCACTGTGCCTGTGTGGCGCAAAGGCGAGTTTTTTTGAATATTCGCTTCGTTATTGACACCTGTCCATGCTACCAATCAACTTTGGTGCATGACATTGCAGCCCCCTAGAAATCGACTCACTGCGCTAGCGTATTGGCGGCTCCGAGAGATCTTAACACCATCATCTTCTTTCATGCGGAAAACCTCATGCAAGAATTTGAGCAAAAGTCCAGTGAGCCTGTTTATCAATTACATCTAAAATGACTTGTATTTTCTGCTGATTTGTTTTATGCTGGGAACCAGCTCGAGGCATTGGCCTTGATGGTGTAGGTGTGTTGGGTTGAGTAAAGAATAGGGGGGGAGTTGATTGAAAGAAAAGGGGCAATGATTGAGACTCGGAGTGGCTACAAGCTGAGCTGATAGGGGTTGATGTTGGTGTCTGAGGGAATGGAGGAATACTAGAAAGATTAGGGACTGAAATTGTACGACCGAGATGATGAGCATTGTCCGCCATATTTTGTTATGAGAGTAGATTCTCTCAATAGGGGCTTGATCTCATAATCTTATTGCAGCGCCACATCAAAATTTTCAGCACATGTTTGTATTACTAAGGTAAAGTACATCATAAAACTGTTATCGCCGATGGCTTGAGACCAAAGGCCTGAGCAACGGTTGCACCCTCGCCAACCGCGGCAGACCTTCTTTTCCAGAATTTCTCCCTTCCGGATCGATGGTCTGCTTATAGGAGACTAGTCATGAGGGATCACTGACTATCATATTAGTCAAATAAAGCAAACATGTCATGCTACTTGCATTTTTTTGTTGCTTGGGGCTTGGAAAGAGGAACCTATAGAATAAATCTTTATCCATCCAATAAGAATAATGGTTGACTGCAAAGTCTTTCATTTTGTTCGCTACATCAGTCAGTTCATAGACTTTGAGTTCAATTCTAATAAGGTCATCTTTTTTCGGTAAATTTGTAGGCCTGTAGATAGGAATCAGATACTTGCAAAATCTGCAACACCATTCTTCTTCACTGGGCAATTCAAATTCAGCTGTGGCAGTTGGACCTGCTAAGGGAGTGATGGCAGTAAGGATGTCAAAGTTTGGTTTGGTTCAGAGGCCTTTTGTTCTGAACCCCAAACCAAACCAAGTAGATTCAGGGGTGAACTAAACCGAACTAGAACTGGACCAAGTGAACCTGGTTCAGGTGGTTCTGGTTCTGGTTTGAATCAGAATTGAACCTCCAAACCACCTCATATTGTGGGATTTTTCCAAAAATAGTTCAATTTGTGTTCAGGCGTCATGACTGCATCATTCAATGTTATAAACTCCATGATAGTTTGAGCAGAGCTAGAAAGTAGTGGGTGCCTCCTAGCTTGTGTTTTCCTTTAAAGCCACAATATAGGCAACACCCATGCTTTCTATTGTGTCCTACTGGGCCATTTAGATACATCCCAGGCCATCTGCAGTTGCAAGTGCAAGGAAAGGCCTTGAGATGCATAGGTAGTCAACAATAATACATGGACTTATAGACATGGACCCATAATGAGACACTACTGAGGATAGCATGTGCAAGGCCTAAGTCAGCAATGGCAGTGTATTCTGCAAACATGATACTCACAGCTATACCACCTATTCCTCGCCTTCCAAGTCTTCTTCTGATGAATCAATTACCTCTTACTTTTGGCGCCCTGCAACTTACTGTCTTTCTATTTGTGGTATGTTGTCCAATCTCCTTGTTAGGCTGGGACACCTGTTGTTGCTTTTGTGACAAACCTCCATCAGAGTGTTTTTTCCTCTTCTTGCGAGTCACCTCACCTGCATTCTGGCGTGCTTCAAGTTTGGCCTTGTATCTTCTTAACTGTGATGATGTCAGCTTGACCAAATGACAAGTACCGTCTCTCCATGGTATGCACCACGAGGTTTCTGGATTTCTGCCACTGTCCCAATGATAGATAGATTGATAAAGGGGATGTTTGCAGGCCAGCTGGACAACTTTGACGCTATGCAAAGCAACAATTTCTGTGTCATAATTCTGATAGTCTATCTTTGCTGTTTATCCTAAGACCTTACCTATGATTAAGTAGTCAATTACCATACTTCATCAATGTAAGATAGAACATACAAAGGCCGATCTTGCAGGCTCAGATACATTGACAACAACAGTTTTTGAGGTTGTCACGCTCTGCAGTTTTTACATGAACAAATCAGTGAAGAGGCACCACTGCTGAATTATGCACTGACTTTGATTTCTAGAACATCCCCGCTGCTCAAATAGCTGGGCAATCTCATCTGGCTCCCTGACAATAATGTCTTCCCAGAAATTGAGGGAGCTGTTGCTCCTGTATCAAGTGGCAGTGCCATAGTTATTGATATGTCCTCAGGTGAGGAAGAAGCACCCATATGAGCCTGTACAAAGTGCTAAATTGTTGAGCTCAAACACAGAAATAGGTCAGTTTACTAATACAGTAGCAATAATGGGATCTGACCTCTTTTCCTATCCTGTCTGCTGTGCACAGAAGATCACAGGTGGCAGCGCATCAGGAAAAACACTTTGGCTATATAGCAGAGGCAATACTATTTATGCTATTATAGCTCTCATAGTACTGTAAGTTTGAGCACACATGTATAATATTATGTAGCTAGCCAAGGCATTATAATGGCTTTTATAGCTCTAATAGCCTATATAGCTGTTAAGACCATAGTACATATTTATAGCAATGCTTTATCCAAGTATAAGCTGTGACAATGTGTTAAAAAATGACAAGTCCATGAAAGGTCAATATATTACACATATATATAATATTTTGTAAGCCTTTGTGGTGTAGTGAATAAATGTGTGGTATGTGGCTGTAGATTAATTGGTCAGCAAAAAAGCGGACCAACAGGTTGAGAGTTCAAACCTTGTGTGTGTGATTATTTTTTAAAATCAGCCACAAGCTCTCTCATAGCTCATATAGTCAGCCATATGCTATAAGTGCTATAAGAGGCTATAGCCAACTATAAGAGTACTATAAGAGCACATTGTTTCTTAATAAATGTTGGGGTTTCTATTGCAGCTATGATCACTATAACAACTATATTTGCAACTATACTGCTGTTCATCGCAGGTTCAGATGGGGGGGTTATTTGGACATCACAGAGGTCACACAAGCCGAGTTGGAGCTCTGCTCAGCACTATCAGTGGTTGGACATGATTTTGAGTGTGGCGCACCTGAAATTTTAGAAACTGAGATTGCAGTACCTTAGTAGAGTGTTGGGGAAAAGCTGTTGTAAACAAAATCTGGCATAAGTTACTTAAAATACAACGGTAAAATGTGTGTTGAATCCTTCAAAGTGGATAACAAAGGTAAAGACTCCCAGAAAACTGGGAGTCTGGTCCTGCACACCGGCACACCAGCCTCAATATCAAGTCTGTCACATAGACCAACAATTACAGCCACCTCCATAAAGTGGACTTACCATTGTAAGGAAGCAGGGGCTTGGGGATTTCTAGTAGAGCAGAGGGCAAGTCTCAGCAACAACTTACCTGGAGGTTCAGGATTTGTCAAGGTTAAGGCAGTTGATGTAAATGGTAAGAGACTGAATTCATTTCAGCACTCTGTGTTACTATTGTACAGACACCCAAACATTTCAACTCAACATCATTTCTAGCAATGCTTTTATTGTGTCAGCTCATGTTTGTCAAGGCGTCATGCCTTGTTCACCCATATCTCCATTTGTGGATGTTACAATCAACACACTGGAGCTGTATTGTGTGGCACATCTGCAAAATCCCCATTCCTCAATCAAGGCCTGGGTGAAGACTCTTAGCAATTTGCAAGGGGTAGGTGTCTGTTCAATTCAACTGTATAGGTTGCATGACCATGTTTAACCATTATTCCAGGTTCAATATCAAAGGTATCTCACAAGACAGCTTTCTATTGCTTTTAACCTCTATCTCAAAGTCTGAGAGTGCGTCAATGAACTTGTACAACATCATCTTCAATGTGATTCGCCCAAGTGAAGATTGAAGCATGTCTGTCTGCTATGTACATATAAACTAAAGACTCACTCAAGAAAATAATCAGAGGGACACCCTCCCCACATGATGTAGGTGAAAAACCAGGACCTTCATCAGACCTCCCAAGCCCACAGCACATTTGCAGTGATCACTACTTGTCAAGCAAGTTTGTAGACAGATGGGTGCACAAAGCTTTTCAGAACATGTTGGGAGACACTCAATGCTTTTGTGATACACAATTTTTGGACTTAACAATTTTCTTTCTCCACTTTAACTTTCTTTATCATTATCAAACACGTGTGCCCCACGGCACTTCCCTTTGTCCTTTCACTTTCTGGCGTTACACTGCTTTTCTTATTTTTAGCTACAAATCTCTCATGTAGTGGAGTGGGTCACACAGGCTGCACCCTATGACTCCTGTTGTTTACCCACAACTAACTTGGTCATGCCTTAAGGAGTTTATCCACTCCCACTTCCCTCACACTTGCCTGTTTGAGTTGTGCGCCAGAGTATCAAAACTTTGGTTGTTACAAATGCTGTATGAGCTGAATAATCTAGCTTTCATATTAATGTGAATGAATTACAGGACAACACTGAAGATAATCCATGTGCCAGACACTGGAAAAACATGAAGGATAATATAGTGAAGAAAATGTGTAGTGTATTTGATGAAACTAGTATCTTTTTGGCTCTTTGCCACCACAGTATCTCCCTTGTAGTTGCGGATATGGTGCAGAGTGGGGAACTGTAAATTTTTACCTTAACTAGACTATTTCAATGCTACCACTCTGTTCATGTAGAGCCAAGTATCCTCTGGCTGTGGCCGCAGAACTGCCGGATGTGTTTGGTGAAGGGCTCACAGATGGCTTTGACATTAACTGCAAGTTCAAGACTATATTTTGGAACAGTCCTCTTGGTCCACGGGCCCACACACTCAACCACACATGTTTAGTAGGGGCATTCCACGGACACACTCACAGACACCTCTGTCAACTGGATCACTTAGCAACATACATTGAAGGTTTAGGCCTGGACTTAGAGGGATGCAAATTTGCACTCTCCAAGTCCAACATCTTGGCATTATCTGTGTGGTATGCCAGCATATTCCACCAAAAACAAGCCAACAACACATATTTTGAGCACAATGACTCATTTGAAGTCTACTATAATTTATATAAGTGACACTCCTCTATGGACTTCAGCTAATATCTATTTTGACTGATAGCTACATTCTTATACAACAACCACAAGCAAGTGTTGAACATCTTGGCTACTGGACTGATTAATCTTGCAAAAGCTATGCAAAAGCTTCAAATTGTTGATGAAGGGACTTTTTAGAGCTGGCTACAGGAGGAAAAAACTTGCCTAAACAGTTTATGCAAGGAGCCAATGGAAGAGACCAGCAAGTATGAAAAACTGCTATCCTGTAAAACTTACATTCTTATCCTCATTTTTACAGACAGTCTCTGGCGGCAGCAACTAATGTGTTCTCTTCACAGACTCCCACAACACTAGCTACACCAAGTGCAGATCCAACATGAAAGGCAAAAACAGCTCATTGTCATGCACAAGAGAAATATGAGAAGATATTGGAGGCTGTACAAGCATTAGAAGTGAAGCTCTGTGTTACACAACACTAGACAAATAGCTGAATGCTGGCAGACTGGTGGCCATGCAAAAATATCAGAGAGCCTTGGATCATCTGGAAGGGCTTGTCTTACCTCATATGTTTGAACTGAAAAAGATGAACTGGTCTCAGACGGGTAAGTAGTGTATTAATGGGTTTAATTATATTCTAACAAGGCCTCTAGGTTACACTCTATGCAAACATATTGGCAAGGCCTTACAAGCACAATTAGCAACTATTCAGACAGCACTGGACCACTACAACCCCTCTGCAATGTGCGGCAGGATATATCATCCAGGCTATGGGCCACTCCGGCTGGCCATCTTGTGATGGACAAGCATTTTAAGATTTGCCATGCCCATGAAGAAATCAGGTGCCTCAATTTTGAGATCAGGCAGTTTGTAATGTGCCTGCGTGGTAAGAGCATCAAAACAGGACCAGGAGAGAGTACTAGCATAGCTCTGACGCACATCTTCTCAATGGTTGCTGTAGGTGTTGGCTGTTCAGTTGATGGGGAAATGGCCCAGGCAGCTGACACTCAAGAACACCTTAAGGACAAAGAACAGGATGAGGAGGACAATATCAAAATCTCTGCAACCTTTGAATGTATCGTACACATATCTGGAAATACCTGACACTTCACTCTAAGAATAAGCTTTTAGGGAATATGTTTGTTAGAATATACTCTAATATACCAATACTCCATAGGATAATACCTCTGATTTGTAAGCCAACCCAGCATGCAGCAGCTATACTATGTAAGACGTCCGTGGTTGCATGTCATGTTTAAGATCCTATATTGTATATAACCTTGGCCATATAGCTCAATTGGTAGAGTAGCTGGCATGTATCCAGCAGGTTCCAGGTTCAATCCCTGGTCTGGTCAATATCCAATTTTATCAATGTTTTGTATTGTATATACATATGTGTGTCTACTATACTATATGATAAGCCAGTTTTTATGGGAGCCAAGTCCCACATTGAAATAAGGAGAATGTTACGATAACACATTTTTGGACCTTTATAATTTTCATTCTCCTCTTTAACCTTTTATTGTAGCTTTCTCACATTGGGCCATGCGGCACTTTCCCTTTTGTTCAAACTCCTCTTTCTCGCACTGTGCTGCCCTTCTTCTTATATTAGCTACAAGTCTCTCACACAGTGGAGCTAGTCACACGGGCTGTGCCCCCTGACATCATCAGCCACTGCTTTATCAACTGTATAGTACAACATGTACAAACAACCTGTAGTAGTATATATACCTCAATAGATCCAGGAGACTCCTCAGCGAGTCCTCCTGTTGTATCCTCACTAACTTGTTGCAGTCTAAATGGTAACCACTCCCTCATCATCTTTTCTATAGTTGGTTCTAGTTGTGTGCCAGAGTAACAAACTCTTGGTTGTTACATCAGGACTTGCTCTTCATACTCTCTTGCACATTGTGCAAACCCGGACTCCCATGGATATTGGCGCGGTCCAGGGTGGACAAAAGTGCAGATTCACCTGCTTCAGCTGTGGGCAGGAGGGGCACATGGCCCGAGATTGTACAAACAGAGCGCGGGCCGCTCAACAAAAAAATAATAACCAAGGGCGCCAGGCGCGCCAATGAGAAGCGGAAAAACCGGATGATCGGCTCAATTCTTTGGCTGGTCGTTCTTACGACGAAATCCGGGCTTTCTTCTATGATCAACAGGTCAATGAAATGAAGGCCCAGGGAAAAGAATTTGGAGTGTAGGTCACTTGGGTGCCTTTGCTCCCCAAAACAATGAAGTAAACCACAACAAAGTGGACCCTGCTCCAGGGTGTTGCACGAGCAGTAATAGAAAGAAGGGGATGGCTCCCCAATTTGTAAATAGATTCTTGAATTTGTTATCTGAAGTATGTACTTGTATGAGAAGTTGTGACTGTGGATTTGTCTTGGACCCTCCTGATGATATAGATGCTTTGAGCGCTGATTCAGTGGGTCAAGATGATGAAGGAGTTGATATTAAAAATACTTACAATACCACCGCTGCACCAGCGTCTCTTTTGGAGCGCAGCCCCGGCGAGACAAACAATAGGGTGCTTAATTCTGGTAAAAATAAAATAGAAAAATATGTAGCTTTTGATACTTCTTCTTCTTCTTTGGAGTCACCCCTTCCCAAAATCCCAAGGTGTGTGTTGATGCGCACATATTTTTTCCAAAAAAACATCCATTTAGATGTTGGCATTGTCATGCACCAAAGTTGATTGGTAGCATGGACAGGTGTCAATAACGAAGCGAATATTCAAAAAAACTCGCCTTTGCGCCACACAGGCACAGTGCCACGTGAAATAGCAATCCAGTCACGCTCACCTTTGCTTTTCCATTTGGTACTTTCCGCATTTCGGTATTTCGGCAAATTTTTGCGTCGCCACTGGCTACACATTGCATTGCGCCCTCGTTTTTGTTGTTTCCTTCACTTCCCTTCCTTTGCCTAGCCCCACCATGGGCCCCTTCCTCTCCTTTTTATTCTCACCTGATGGTCGTTTCTGGATCCCCACTCTAATCCACCTTTTCGTCACCTCCACCCTCCTCCTCCTCATCTTATTTGCACCCCCACCATTTCTGATGTCACCACTTCCTATCTGCTTCCGTTGCCGATCCGTTGACTACCATGTGCCACTGCTGATATCAGCAAAGCCCCGGCGGCTGGTTCAAATAGGGCAACAGGTCCATCTTTATGATGTCGATCTACCATCATATACTATCAAAATATTGGTCGCTCATCTTGCCTGGTTGGAGCGTGGGTGGGTAGTTTTTGAGCTGGAGAAGGTTCATCCCCTTGCGTTGCCCATGTTCATTGCTGTCCCATTCACTTGGGTACACTTATCTTTTGTCCATCGTCTTTGCTACAGCTACACCTACCACACGCTGCCTGGGACTCACTTGTTCCAAATTGGGACTACTCCTCTCCCTCCCTTGTTTGACCAGGTGGTCCAACACAACCAGTCCATTGGTGAGGCCATGGAACTGTCGGATTTGGACTAGGTGGTGGACCAGTGGCTCCAGTTTCTTTTTTTTCAGTAGAACATTCATTTACAGTGCGATTATTTTTGATTTTTGAATCATTTTTATGGACACATATTTTTTAGAATGCCTGACTGCCAATAAAGGAACTGTGTTGATACTGATAGTGTTTTGCCTTGCCCTTTTTTTACCTGTATCTTCCCATGACATCATGATTTTCCTGCTCTCTTTTTGCTATTGGACTTTACTTTATGGCTGTACAAACCTGTGACATTACTCACAGCATTCATTGTTCTATCCCTTTCTTTTCCTTTTTTTGACAACCTTATCCTGTACTACCTATGCAGGATTTGTCAGCGTACATTCCTTCCTTCATGTTCTTTCTCATTCTTTTTGCACAGCTATACTGTGCATAGCCTACTTTTCTTTTACTATATAAACCCCTGTATTTTACCTTGTAAAGAACAAAAACTCAATTCCAGACTTCTTCTCTATTTTCAAGTTCACTACTCTGCTGCTTGTGATCCAGTGTGGTCACAACACTTCCCACTGCTACCACTGTCAACTGCTGTCATCATCACTTCCCACTTTTGAAGTTATTGTCATCCCTTTTGATTAGAGTCCTTCTGAGCACTATAGTTTGTGCATCACAAGCCTGCTATCACTGGGAACCTTGTTATATTGTCGTTCTCAAACCTACCTTGTGCTACAATTAGCAAGGTAGTGCCTGTCTACACTCGCCACAAAGCCCCTATCTTTCTATATTCCAACTATCCCTCCTCCTTAAAACCCACACCCATACATCTCTGGGTTTTACTTTGAAGGATCCTCATACATACCACCCCACGAACAACCAGAGCACCCACTGTTCTAGGAGGCAAAGCCCATAAACAAGTTCCGTGGAATCTGGGAGGATTGTGTGTTAGTTTGTTTTTGTGTGTGGTTTTCTAACAACAGTTCTCATCATCAACAGCAACTCACATTTACCCGCCCATATCTTGCAACTATAGTTTGATCATCCTGATGGTTGTCCGAAACTTAATCAAGACATCAGCTCGAACACTATGTACTCACCAGAGACTCCTTACCTTGAAATCAAGCCCGCCCGGCCTGCCTTGACTTCCTTTGCTGTCCAAATAGTAGATAAACAGCTCCGGAAGGAGCAGCAGAAAGTGTTGCAGCCTGAGACAGGACTTGCAGTGGGAAAACAAACATCTGAACCTCAATGGGCGGCAATAGGCAGGACAACATTAGCCAATGCCATGCAGGCCTTCAAGACTCACCAGCCTCTTCTATGGCACTACATCCTGTCGCTTTCTTCCCCAAGGATCTGTATTCGCAATGGAGTCTGTGTAATCCGCAAATATTGTCCCCCTGAACCGGTCAGTCATTTCTACAAATAACAGTAAGCGCACACACTTACACATATGCAGATCTGTGCGCATATTATATCAAGTATAGATTTCTCGCATACCGAGAACACTCGCATACTGCCAGCCAAGTATTCTATCCTCTACTTTGCTTGTGGTGCCCCTAAGACTCTGTTCACCCATGGTTCACGCATTGCACATACCATGGCCTATAGTACAACATATTCACTCCTACACCGGCTATCTGACCACAAAGCCACGTACCTTTTCAACCTGGGCAATGACGAGATACAGTGGCCAATTATCCAGATGGACAATGTGCAGGGTTACACCCACCAACGCAACTCTCGTATCGGACGAGAAGATATTATGATAACAGGGACTGCCGGAACTGTAATAGAAGCCCACAATTTTAGTCCTATGGCCCTTGATATAGATGACAAGTTGAAGCGAATATCTGAAAACAAGACATGATAGACCAAGCGCACCACCGGACAATAATGTCCCTCCACTGGCTTCAGGTTCTGGTTTTCTATGTTCCTGAACTGGCTCATTACAAAACCGAAGTGTCCCAGCTTATTTGTACGAAAGCATTGAAAAAAAGACTTTCCCTGAAAGCGACAGTGGCCCATCCACTAGCTACAAACACTTTTAATGAAACTCGGACGACCGAGCTTAAGGAGGCCCTCCTGGATTTTCTGGCCCAAATCAATCAAACCCCAGACTTCTATAAACAAAGATTGGTCCTGGTGGGCGGGGATGGATTAAATGTATGAAAAATTGGTTCAGTTAAAGAGATACTTACAGTTTCACAGCAACACTTTCGAGCGTCTTGATATAATAGAGCCCATCCTTGAGCTGTGGCATACGGAGTGGACAAATCTCAGCCGTTTGTTTGAGACTCACTGGGGGGAAGGCATCAGCAATGATCCCTCAACGTTAGGCCACAGCGCTTCACAGATTGGTCGTAAAGCTCCAATCAACCTCAAAAAGGTTGATTACTATCCGTGCTTCCACCTGGCGAACTTGGTTCTCGAGACTTGGCTTCTAGACTGCTGGAGGTATGTGGTGACTATTTTACGGGCCCCTGGAAGCATCCTTACTGTCAACAGGATTCATTTTGATGTCAACAACCTGTTCAAATACTTCTAAGAGCTTGACAAAACTGATTCTCTGCCAAGTCTATCGAGCCTGGAGGAGATGGCTGTAAAACTGCATCGTCAGTATTCAAGCATGTGGGCATATCATAATGCTATGACAAAACCACATCCTGCCGACCCTCACTTAGTACCTACTGGTTTGCAATGGGACCCTGGATCTGTACCAAACACAGTCCACACGAGAATTGTTGAAATGCGAGTATCTGTGAAGGTTAAGAAAAGTAAGAAGAAGACAGAAAAAGAAGTGGAGACTGGCGCACCTTTTGAAGGTGATCAATGCCTTGCTCAATCCATTCTTTTGATGCGAGACAGCCTCATAGCTCGCAAAATGGCCTATGCAGTGAGTGATGGGGATATTGGACGGGTATATGAATGTCTGAAGGTCAGTACAAGATCACTAGACAAATAAACGGATGACTTACACATGATTAGTTGATGGTTTTCACGTTTTCCGGGTCATTGCATACAAAGTACACGACTTATCTCCTAGAAATGATATGTAGTCTCAAATATGAATCCAGTGATGCTCTACGCAATGCAATCATGCAGAACTGGTTAGTAAATCTTGAAGGGACTGCTGGTTCGTTCTATGCTGGAGATCTGTTACAAGAACATCTTAATAACTCTCTACAAGAGTCCAGAGACCACAACGACGTACCTTGGGACAGTCATTTCATGCGAAACATTGTGTCGCATAATGTGCTGGAGTTCAGCCGGATCAAAAAAGATATGCTGGCAGAGCTTTCTTTGGCACGACGCAGCAACAAGCATGCTGAACCGCATAATCAGCCCAAAGTAAAGAGGCTGTTACAGACGTACCAGGAGCACAAGATCCATCTTTTCCGAAGTGGCCGACACTACAGTGGACGAGACAAAGACGTGGACGACTTCACAAGAGGACTGAACAAGCTACTACAAGGTACATTATCAAGATGGGTCAATTCTACCATGACAACAAGGGGACTCTCTTCGCCATCGGAAATGGAGGACCTGATTGAAGAGGATGACAAAGATGGTGTTGAGGAAATGTATGATACAGGCCCAAGGAGAAATGGGACCAGTTACATAGAAAACGGCGAGTTGCAAATTGAGTATGATGAGTTGGAAAGCGGGGAACAAGAGGCATTGTGCCAAATGGCCCAGGAGGAAGCAATCAGTGAAAGTGATGAAACAGAGGGAGAGGGGACCGACCAGGGCCTTTAACACAAACGCTTCACAGCAGGGGGCATGTTCTCTTTCGCCTGTCAATGTTATCAGTCGCTAATACCAGCCATACCATGAGGCCAGATATACGTACAATTAAATGTTTACCACCATGCTGCTTCAGCATGGTTTGCTCAGACGCCGTGGCAGCACATTTACGTTTCATAGCATGTGATTGTACTGACTTGAAGTTTGAGGCCAATAGTGGTGTTTGCCACTCAAGGGATCTAAAGGGGGAGTAATTCAGTATGAGCAAGGAGGCCAAGACAAGACCACTTACATATTTGTGGAGCTTTCTGGCCTACAGACAGCACTCTCCTGTTCAAGTTGGTAGCCGGGGGTGCTGCTGCATAGTCAATCAGGTAAGATCGGAGGTGTAGGCTTGAAGGCACGCACCTGCAACTCTCTGCTAACCCAGCCCTGATGACACCCATACATGCAGCCATACTCTCATCAGACTCTCCTGCCAGTTCATCGCCATTATCGTTACATTTTTGCCTTGTTTTTTGAGCGCGCAATTGACTTATCTGTCTCTTAATGTCAGCAACAGATTGCCACAGAAGATTGATATGAGGCACAAGGAGGTTGTTGGTTCCAGCCAAGACTAGAAGGTCAGCGGCTGATTGGAGCTCGTGGAGGTGGTCGAGAACCTCCTTGATGGTTCGATCAGGGAGAAACGAGGCCGGTGGGAAGATGTCGGTGGTGTCGAGGTCAACAGCCTTCCAGACCTTGTTGCGTGTCCCAATGAGCCAATCAGAGTATTGCTGACACATGTTTGTGGTAAGTCGATCTGATCGTGTGACTAGTTTCTTGATCACAGCAGGTAGAAGAGGAGGTGTGTCGGGGGAACACCCTGAGCAGTTGCACTGGGAAGTCTTGGTGATCTGTGGTGTCTTCTTGCATGTAGAACAGAGACATGGTACGTCGGAGGAAGGATTACTGAAAAGGTTGTCTTGCTCAATAACTTTGCAGGGAGCCATAATGAACTTGGCTGTGTGGACGTTAAGTTGGTTCTTGATGGTAGCCGCACTGTCTCCACTGTTGGCCAAGTTGGCGGCTACCATTTCTGATCGGGTAACATACAAGATCCCTTGCAGGTCTTTCACTCTGTTTTTCTGACGTCCAGCTCTGCCTTGCTTTTGCAGGATAGTCGCAGGTGTCTGAGCTCCCGCTCCCAGGACCACAATGTCAGCTACATCAGGGGGATCAAAACCAACACAGATGGAGTCAGTGGCAGTGATAATTTGGGCCCTTGGATCCTCGTGAAAGAGACGCCGGGTCTCAGCATTGTACAGCGGTGAGTTGAGCAAGTTATACATGCGGATACGGATTTTCCGGTCACAATTGGCTGCCAAGGATGCATTATTCCACAGGTATGTGTGCACACGGAAACTAATGTTGATTGTTTCACAGAAGATCATTGTTTTGCGGCGGCTGTCAAGGATCCAGAGAAGGTCTGGGAATGAGTGGTTCCCTATCCCATGGGTGAGTTCTCGAATCACAATCCGCAAATCGGGACGGATATTTGATCTATGTACTAAATGAAACCAGCCTGGTTTGAGCCCTAGAAAATTGCAGACCTGCTGCATTGGTGGGCCAGTGGGCAGTGTTGCTGTCAGGGCAATCATGACAACCCGGGATGGAAAATGTGAGGCCATATATCCAATTTGTTGGAAGACCTGACGAAAATCATTTCCCCAGGTGTCCAGGAGATGAATCTCGTCTATGGCCAGTGCACATACTCGTGTCCGGAACATAGGATGATAGAGTAGCCGCTCAAATGGCTTTGAGCTGAGTTGTTCGGGCGACAGTAGTATCAGTGACACCTGCTCGCTGACAATCTTCCACAGGTCCTTGCCTTGCTTTCGCGCTTCTCGTAAGGTATGTGAGTTGATGGCTATGGCATATTTTTTGAATTCAAGTTCCTATAGGCAACATGAGGTAAGTTATGTCATTTAAGCAAAACCTGGTCACTCACCATCTCCTCCTCTAGGCCGTTGGTTGGAAAAACGGCCACCATAGCTGGGTCTTTTGGTACAATTTTCTTAGGCTGGCACAAAGCTGGATTATTGGCAAGGGCGGACATGATTAGCATGTACATAAATATGTATCCTGTTTTGCCTCCACCCGTTGGTATGAGGGCCATCAAATCCTGGCCATCCAATGATCTACAAACTCCATCCACGATATAATCATGAGGCTCGAAGGGCAGTAGCGGTTTCAAAATTCTTCGAGCGAGTTCCCTGCCATCCGGTGTATCAAAAATAAACTCTTTCATTACTGTGGGATCTTCATTTCTGGTACGGATCCGAGACATTCACAACAGGAAGTGGTAAGATGTTTTATTCACAATATTTGCTAGCTACATTTCTACATGTACAGTCGTTGTAATGTCCACATTGATCATTTTGTTGATTCATTGTACGCGACGCGTCCGATCACGTGTATAGGCTTTAAGGCTTGTAAGGCCGAAAAGCCTGAGCAACGGTTGACAGGGTGCCAACCGATGTAGCCTACCTCATGACCAAGGTCGGGGGGTGTCAGTTTCAAGGTAAATTCTATATCTAGCAAGTAAATGTCATTTGCAGTGCAAGATTTTGGCCATTACTCTGCATGCCAATGATTATATTCTCAACATATACCAATTGCACACAAAACAAAAGCAAAAGCTCGGTCTAACCAAATTCACTACAGCAGGGTGCACTAAAACTAGTAGAAGGCGAGTCTATATTAACATGGCACACATCACCCATCCCTACCTTCAGCTGGTGTTTATCCAGATCCTTTTGAAACAAATCAAATGTTGGCTAAGAAGGGCATCAAACAACTCAGGTACGACGAACCTCCGGAGTAAACCTTGCCAAACATCACCTGCTGAAGCTTGTCATATAGCGAGAGAACCCCAGCGCCGGCGACACCACGGAGAATATTAGCGCCTGCACCTTTGAAGAGAGATTTTGTGCCCTCTTTAGCTACTATCTGGGCACCTGCGTCAAACATAGATTTGTAATGAACACCAGCACCTGATGTCATCATCATACGTCGACTGCGACAGGAAAAAATCTAAGCATTACAAAACTATTCTCAAATTGGCACGTACCGGATGGTATCCAAAGGATATGACGCTAGTCCAGCTCCAATAGTAACACCCCAACCAAGAGCGAACGACGCCAAAAAGGACCCTTCCAGCGCACCAACAAGAACCACAGGCTCTACAACATAATAAGATGAGGAGAGAATGGTGTGAAATTATGGAACGCACTTAATGAATCGTAAACACCAAAATAAAGCCCACGATAGACAACGATGCCAACAACGGAAGGGACAAAGCCGCGGTAAAGCCCAGCAATACCATCAGAAGCTAGAGTCTTCTTATAGACATCCACCAAGCCATTGAACTGACGGGCGCCTCCACCTTTCGCAGACTTGGCATCGTTCGCAAGACGAGTACGAGCATAATCGAGCGAATAAACAAAAAGCAAAGAAGAAGCACCCGCTGCTCCTCCAGATGCAACGTTGCCAGCAAACCATCGCCAATAACCTTCCGATTTCTTGAACCCGAACAATGACTTGAAATAGTCCTCTGTTTGAAAAGGTGAAAAAAGGGTCACGAAAGACTGTTTAACTTCGCTTACTGAAGGCGAAATTAAGAGCCTGAGTAGGAAAGTATCTGATCACGTTAGCTGTGTTACCTCGCCACAACGATACCATGCCCTCATCCTTGTAGGTGCGAGCAAAGGCATCAGCAATACCCTTGTATGGTGTGGCCAGACGCCCTTGTTTAATCTAAGTCGCGCAGTCATTTGAATTTCAGTGTTTGGCATCATGCTATTGACCTACCATCTCGTCCTGGTTCTGAACCAGGAGCTTGATCCGTTCTATAGGCGCGGCAGAAGTTTTGGCCACAGCCTAGAAACGAAAACATGAAAACAAAGTCATAATTCAGAAAGCAAACTTACAGCTGAGACACCGCCCATGAGGAAATCAACTGGATAAAATATTGAAAACTGAAAACGAATGAAAACTACATCTCGACTAACTCATGAAATCCTGCGGTGACTTGACCCTCTTGGAATCGGCCATTTTGTAAAGGGGGAGGAAAGTAAGTGTTGGGTGAATAGAACGAGTGGATGAGAGGAATGGAAAAAAGTTCGCATCAAAAAGGATTTCGGAAGCACCCGGAGCATGTTATCTCCGTCTTACGCCGACCGTAGCGAAGTGCAGAGTGCAGCGGAGTCAAGTCACAACTGAACTGCCTCTAGTCTCTAGCACTGCGCCCCCCCCAGCAGGGTAAAAATCAACCAGGAATGCACCTTTTTCTTTTGCGAATAAACACTCACCGCATCAAGTGAAAATTACCAGGTATTTAAGTAAGTTATTCGTTGAAATTGACAATTATCTAAGCTAAAGTGCTAAAGGGGGTTCGAGAGGGGTTTTCCGCTCGGCCAGCCAAGCCTGACTCCCAGTCAGAAACAGCAATGTTCCTACCAAATCAAACCTAATCGTATCTTGGTGAGTCTAGGTGGGATTCTTAATTTTACCGTTTCTCAGGATTTCTCTCAACTCTCATTCATAGCTATATTTTTACAATGATAGTAAAATGGACATAGGATATGAATTGATATCAATCCATTTGATTTCTTAATTATTGAATTATAGAAATAATGTTTAAAACCTTTCTCGTTGAATTATTAAAAAAATTGAATTACAAACAAATACACTGAATCACACTGAAAAACAATGCAAAAGAAACTGAGATACAAAGAATTATATGGAAAGTAAATGGGTTGCACAAAAAGCAAACAAATCATACTGAAAGAGAATGAAAAAGAGAGTGAATTAGAAAAAATCCTACCAAAGCAAAAACAATACCTCTATAATACAACCAATCCTACTGAAAGGATGACTGATGTGCTTGAGAATGTGCATTAATTGATTCTGCCTCACACAGTTGAAAAATTCATTCAGATGGTCTTGCTTGCAAAAGAGTATATAGTGGTCATCAATCTTGTGTAACAACCAAGAGTTAGTTACTCTGGCGCACACAGGAACACACTATAAAGGTAGTGAATGGGGAGTGGTTACCCCTTAGGCTGCAGAGAGTTTGTTGGTTAACAACAGGAGGACTCGCTGAGGAGTCTCCTGGATCTATTGGGGTATATATACTAATACAGAGTGTTTGTACTTATGTACTGTACAGTTGATAAAGTCAGTGGCTGATGATGTCATGGGGCCTAGCCCGCATGACCAGCTCCACTGCGTGCGAGAGTTGTATCTAAAAATAAGAAGAAGGCAACGCGGTGCGAGAAAGAGGAGTTTGAACAAAAGGGGAAGTGCCACGTGGCACCATGTGTGAAAGCTAAAGTATACAAGGTTAAAGTGGAGAATGAAAATGAAGGAAAGGTCCAAAAATTGTGTTATCGTAACATCTTGTGGGAACCTTGAGGTAAGTGCTCTTCAGGCTCAAGATTAGGAATAATTGCTTTCAGAGCATTGACTTGCACATAGATGATGGCCCTCTGAGATAAGTTGGCATATGGATTTGAATGTTGCTGGATTTCCTGTCCCAATTTGCCAATAGTGTGTTCCATGGTTTATAGGGATGGACAGATAGCTGGACCTGCACAAATAACCTCAGAAGCTTTCTTCTAAGATATTTTGTAATTTGCTTTTATGCTGGTGCATCAGTTGGACAGTGTGAACTTACTTGCAGAAGCTGGGCCAGTAGATGAAAAGCAAGATATTGTACAACAATGGAGGAGCAAAACCATAAATATAGAGCAGGTGTTCCCAAGCTTTGTAGCCGCTGGATATCTTTTTTGCTGGTAAATGACTGAGGTGTCTATAGTAGGATGAGTTCGCTTTTCTGTATCCTAATTAGGAAAGTTATATAATGTATCAAAATGTTGGATCAGTTCAATGAAAATGAATGAAAGGATGGAGCATCTGTAGTAATATCCATAATATGCCAACAGGTCTTTCATTATAACGACAAAGTCTATGTGCCTGAGTCTGCAAGGATCAAGGCAATAGACATACATCATGATACACCAGTGGCTGGGCACCCTGGGTAGCAACAAACTATGGAGTTGATCTCCAGAAATCACATGTGGCCTGGCCTGGTCAAAGACATACAGGAATACATAAAATTCTGTCTTTGCTGTGCTATGGCTAAAGATTTTTCATCAACCGCTAGCCAGTAAACTTATGCCGGACCTGATACCAGCTGGTCCCTGGCAGCAAATATTGCTTGACTTCACAACAGACCTCCCCGAGTCAAATGGGTTTGATTCAGTGATGGTGGTTGTGGATTGATTCTCTGAAGAAGTCATATTCATACCCACAAATAAAACTATTACAGCTGCTGGTACAACAGAATTATTTATAGATTTTGTATGGTCTATCCATGGGTTTCCAGAAATGGTAATTTCTGATAGGGTAACTCAATTCGCTAGCAAATTTACAAAAAGACATTGCCGGATACTGGGCATCAAACCCAAGTTATCAACAGTGTTCCATCCACAAACAGATGGACAAACAGAGAGACTCAATCAGGAATTGAAACAGTATCTTCGGATATTTATTAATGATACACAGACAGATTGGGCCAAGTGGCTAATGATAGCCCAGTTCTCTTACAATATCAAACAGTTGTTGGCTATGGACAGATGTAAAACAGGGCAGAGCAAAGATGCTTAAGCCCCTGACTACAAGGTTGGCAACCTGGTCTGGTTAGATCCCAACCACTTAAAATTAGAAGATTGGCCATCTAGAAAACTGACCAAAAAGCAGATTGGGCTTTACGAGGTTAAGGAAGTCAAACCCAACCCAGTGGAACTAGAACTCCCAAAATGAATGAGGATAGTACCTACGGTCAATATTAGCTGTGTGAAACCCTACAAAGGGCCACTGCCAAGACACCATGTAGACCGGTCAGGACCGGTTGTAGTCACCCAGGAAGGTGAAGAAGAGTTTGAAGTTGAACAGGTAGTGGATGCATGCTTGAAGCATGGAGTATTAGAATTCCTAGTCCTCTGGAAAGGCTATGGAGATGAGGACAGAATGTGGGAACCAGAAGCTTATCTTGACAATTCCTGTGATGCTGTTCGTGAATTCTATTCCAAGAATAAATTGGCTCCTAGGAAGCTTAGAGGCATGGATTCAAATCTTTTTAATTCCCTTTTTCAACCTATGCCCAAAAATTTAACTACTACCTCTGGAACTCAAGCCTGGAAGTTGAACTTTCATTTTTTTATAGACACTTGTGCCATGCAGCACTGTCCTTTGTTTTCACAACTCCTATTATACTTTCGCTTCCTTGCACTACATTGTCTCTTTTATTGATAGCTACAACTCTCTCACGTGGTGGAGCTGGTTATAAGGGCTACACCCTATGACATCATCAGCCACCATAATTAGCAACTGTATAGTACAAATAGTCTGTAGTAGTATTTTTAGATTTATCTTTACAGTCCCTTAGAGCATGATATTGTTGATGTCATTAAATAGCTACAACTCTCTCAAAAACAAGGCCTTTGCATGTAAGATGCATTTCAAGGCCACATATTTACCTCAAGGCCTTTCCTTGCACTTGCAACTGCAGATGGCCCGGGAATGGATCTAAACGGCCCGGTAGGACACAATGGAAAGCATGAGTGTTGCCTATATTGTGGCTTCAAAGGAAAACACAAGCTAGGAGGCACCCACTACTTTCTAGCTCTGCTCAAACTATCATAGAGTTTATAACATTAAATAATGCAGTTGTGACGATCCACATGACCTACCTGATCCAAATAACTCTCCGGCCTATACCTGGCTATATTTTCCACATAGACGATAGTGCTGTGTCTTGGAATAGCAAAACCCAGCCAATAGTTACTCTATCAACGATATAGGCCAAATACATTGCACTGATACATACAACAAAGAGGCAATCTGGCTCACAAATATATGGGCCGAAGTCACCAATAAATCACTGCAACCACCAGGCCCACTGCACAGCAACAACTGTGGTACTATAGAGCTAACAAAGAGAATGTATACCACTTGAGGACCAGTACACATGTACAAATATTCTGTAGATGTATATAAACCCCAATAGATCAAGGGAGACTCCTTAGCGAAACGCATCAATATTTGCTTTCAGTTCATTTGCCAAACTGTAGAAAACAAAGCTATTCAAATATTCTACTGTCCCACTGAAAATGCCTGCAGATTGCCTCACAAAACCACTGGCTTGACCAAAACTGGAATATTTTGTTAAAATGATGGGAGTAAGTTCAGTTTAGTTTAAGGGGGTGTGTTGGCATATTATATACATTACAATAGATTCTCCATTCTTGTAGTCACTTTCATTCAACTATTCCAACATTTTGATACATTATATAAGTTTCCTAATTGGGATACAGAAAAGCACACTCATCCTACCTTAGACACCTCAGTTATTTACCAAAAAGGCTGAGGTACAGTAAGCATCATTATTATAGCCAATCCTATACTTACACATTCCTTTAGAGTCTTTTCATTTACAATTCTGGTTATCACATCAGTACATCCAAGCTGACTTACTCCGCAATCCTGCTTCCAGACTCATTTTTGCAAACTACAGTGAATTCACTGCAAACAACAAATATTAAACTTAGAATGTGCAAACCTGGTAACAAAGGACTGGTTTGCTTATAGCTGGGTTTCAGATGTATGAAGTGTTTTGATAAGTCCACTTGTGAGTGGGTTTAAGATGTATTCTGAGTAAGGAGTTTTATCTGATGAATACCAAGTTACACTGTTGAAGTGTACAATTGTATTGAGAGATAATAACTACAATACAGGCATATACTGTATATATAGTGCCTGTTTTATGGTAGGCTTTTGTGTTGAACAAGTAGTAACAGGTAGTGTTGGAATGAGTGTATGTATGTGGGAGAATATGGGTAAGTAGCAGTAGGTAAGCTATTAATGAAGAATAAGTAAAGTCCAGCAATATAACATAACAGTTTATAACAACAAATGTGTAGCTTCTGAGGGGCATGAGGGCAATAATAGGAGGATTGTACTGGAGGATCTTCCTTCTGGAGACCCTACTTAGAAAGATATGCCTGACACTATCCTAGATCCTACAGTGCAAGATGAGGGCTCATAGCCCCATGTTATTAACCTCAATGGGTATATGATCAACCTGATACTTGTGTATACTATTTTTAACCTTCATTATCCAAATGTTCAGGGAAACCAAACTAAATCAAAATTATATTCACAGGTTTAATCTGTTTAGGCTACAACCAGGGTGGGGGACCCCTGTGGATATTAACATGGTCCAGATATCAGGCAATGAATATGAAGCTATATAACCACAACAACTGTCAGGTCAAGTTCTTGAAGGGCAAGACAGTGAAGCTGAGTATTGAAGTAGAACAGTATCAGTATAGGTGCAAATCCAAACTAATATTAAACTAAGGAAATAATACATCAAGTATCTACTCCTTATATAGTGAATAAAAAAGAGGGAAAAAATAAGAAAGTGGCCTGACCAGATGACTAACCAATAAAGAAAGAGAAAAAAATGGTATGGTTTATTATAACTATTAATTGTGTGGGAAAGGTCCTTAGTAAGGGATATGCAATTGGCTGGGTCAGTAACCCCATGGGAAGGTGTTGAGTCACAGTCCATATTGCAAATTAATCTCTCACCAAAGTATTCCTGTGCACAGCTCTCAATCAGAGCTATGATTTTAGAATACCTTTTTGTGAACGAGAGAAGAGCCTCGCATGTTGTAAGCACAATAGAATGTAAGAGGAGTAACTGGGAATATTTGAGACAGCCAAAACATAGTGGGAATTTAATTAAAAAATATGATTCCTCACACCAGGGAGGACAGATTTGCAGATTCAAGGGGAACTGTTGCAGTTGTGGCCAAGAGGGACATATGTCCCGAGACTGTAAAAATGGAGTGCAGGCCGCCCAACACAGCAACAACATGTGGCACCAGGTGTGCTGATTAGAAAATGAACAGCCAGATTATCAGCTCAATACATTGGCTGATTGTTGGTATGATAAAATCTAGGCTTTCTTCTACAACCAGCAGGTCACTAAAATGAAGGCTTAAGGAAAATAATCTTGAGCTTAGGTAACTTGGGTACCTTTGCTCCACAGAATAGTGAAGTAAACTACAACAAGGTGGCTCCTGATTTGGGGTATTGCACAAGCAATAAATGATATGGGGTGGCTCCCAACTCTGTCAATAGATTTTCTATTTTATCTGTACAATGTACATGTAAGCATCAATGTAACTGTTCTATGTATGATATTTTTGCTGCACCAGTGTCACCCCAAGAGTGTAGCCCTGGCAAGACAAATACTAGGGTGCTTGACTCTGGTAATGAAACAAATAAAAATATAGAAAATAAAAATATAGAAAATAATAAAGTAGGAAAACATGTTTTTTTTTATACTCTTTCTTCTGTGTCAGAGCCATGTCCTATAGAAATCCCAAAGTATATGTTGATGTGTACATATTTATTCCAAAAAGTGATCTGTTTAGACATTGGTGTGGAAAACCTTGCCCACGGCACAGTACACTAAACCTTGGGACCATGCTATAGATGTGAAAGACACCTTCAAACCAAGAAAGACACACATAATCTCTAAAATAGATGGTAAGTAGCATATGATTATGGACTGTCAGCCAAAGACAGTGGATATGCAAATTAGCTAGCACCAAGATCTTAACAAAGATAGATCTCACATAGGGTTACAACAGTGTATGCATTAAAGAATAAGATGCTTGAAAGGCCGTGTTCACATGTCACCGTGGATCTTTCAAAACAATTATCATGTTTTTTGGGTTGACCAATTTACCAGTGACCTTCCAGAGCATAATAAATGAAATCTTTGCAGATATGGAAAACTGTGTTGTTGTTTGCATTGCCAATTTGTTAATATTTACAAACTCAAACAATGAGACTGAGCATGACAAGATTGTGCAAGAAGTCCTTCAATATCTACAGGAATGTGACCTGTTCATTAAACCCAAGAAATCTGATTTTTAAGTGAAGGAAGTAAACTTCCTCAATATGATAATTGGCCAGAATAGACCCTGAGAAAGTTCAAGTTATTTTGGATCGGCCAGAACCTACTCACATTAAAGGAGTTAGGGCCTTTTTTGGTTTAGGCACTTCTACTGGGGGTTTAAAAATTTTGTAAAAATCATAAAACCATTAAACAATCTCACTAAAAAGGACATTCTGTGGCATTAGGACCCCAAGGAATAAGAAGCTTTTGACAGGCTTAAAAAAGCATTTACAATGGCTCCCATATTAGTATTTCCAGAATTACACAAAGAGTTCCGGCTAGAAACCAACTTTTCTGACTTTGCTACTAGGGCTGTTCTGTCCATTAAATGCCCTGACAATATTTGGAGGCCTTGTGCCTACTTATTGCATAGTCTTTTGACTACAGAGCACAACTATCAAATTTATGACAAAAAATGCTGGCCATCATTAGTGTTACAATACACAATTTTAGACTTTGGACCTTCACTCTCTGTTGTAACTTTCTTTCTCATAGTTTTCAAGCAATAGTGCCTTGCGGCATTTTCCTTCTCACTGCAGGCATTAGCTTATTTAAGCCCAGCTTATATCCTAAAAACATGGGAGCTCTGGGTTCTGGTTGGCTAGAGAAAGCTAAAATTGAATGTTTTCAGCATATAAGCTGGGCTTAAATAAGCCAAAGCCCGCAGTGTTTATTCAGACTTTCACTTTCCTGCACCGCATTGCTTTTCTTTATTTTTAGATACAAGTCTCTCACACAGTGGAGCTGGTTACACGGGCTGCACCCTATGACATTGTCAGCCACTGCTTTCATCAACTGTACAGTACATAAGTACAAACACTCTGTATTAGTATATAAACCTCAATAAATCTAGGAGACTCCTCAGTGAGCCCTCCTGTTGTTTACCCACAACTAACTTGGTCCTCCTCTAAGGGGTTTACCCACTTCTCTATCTATCCTCTTTGCTTGTCATTATGAGCGCCAAAGTATAAAAACTTTGGTTGTAACAATCAGAGCAGTAGAGCACTGGTGGCACTACTTAGGAGGCGCTGGGCACTAATTTGAAATCTGAACCAATCTTAAAGATTTGGAGTATTTTATGATAGTCTGGGACATAAAATGAAGACAGGCCCACTAGGTGGTGTATTTGTCTAGATTTTGTTACAATACACAATGCTTGAACTTACAACCTTATTCATCATTTTCAGATACTTGTGTTGTGTGGCACTTTCCTTTTATTTCAAACACTGTTCATCCTTCACTTTCTTATGCTAAATTGCCTCTATTTTTTATATAGTTACAACTCTCTCACATGGTAGGGCTGGTCACAAGGGCTGCACCCTATGACATCATCGGTATGATATTATTAGCCACCACCCTTAGCAACTATTTAGTACACATATAAAATATGCCTTGCAGTAGTATATAAGCCCCAATAGATCAAGGAAACTCCTTAGCAAGTCCTCCTGTTGCTTACCCACAACTAACTTGGTCCTACCTTAAGGGGAGAAGTAAAAAATACTTGTGTTGGCTGTTGAGGCGCTTAAGTCCCTTGAGAATGAGGGACAACACCAATTTTGACATGCGTCTTTTCAGTGCCATTAATACCGTTTTGTAGTGTATGATTAGTACAATTTTTTGGAGTGAGTGATTAAATGAAAAAATATATTTCTTTCATCAGCAATGATGTAAATTAATTACAAAGCTGAAAGCTCACTATAGAATTTCAAAGACCTATCTCTGAACATGACCAATCAAGTGTGGTTAATGCTATTGGCTGGAGGTAAGCAATGACTCATCCGCAGTAGAAGGCACCATAATCACGCCCTAAGGTGTTGACCAATTGCATATATATCTCAAGGCACGTACATAATTACGTGACATTCCTTCTCAAACATTCCATAAGTGTGTGCCTATTTTGTTACCTACCATGGTCCAGGGTTGCCGGGCGCTAAAGTATTGATACTCAGCCTTATTTGCCGGACGTTTTTTAATGCTTGTTCTTGATCTGCGGTCATCTGATTAGATCTAAACCTTATCTTATCTACCAGTCTGGTTTACATAGGTACCGGGGGTAGATAACCGTTCGGGTATCTTGATTTTGCTTGTCCTTAATTTGCCGGGGGACAGTATTGTCTTTGCCCCTAAACTAAAATCAAAATCCATATCTGAAACTAGGAATACCATATGCCTTATTGCCAAACACCTGCCTTCCCTTTTTGGGTTTACTCACTCCTTCATGCACTCCTCTCTGCTTAACTTCTTTGTGTGGGAAAAGCAGATACTTTGTCTAAGATAGGACTCATGCAAATGTGACCACTATGTGGTGCTGTGACATTTGTGTGATAGTTAGGTTATCCGGGAGGATAAGTGTGCACTAAGTACATTAAGCATGGGAGTAGGTACAATCTACAAAGAAAAATATCATTAGGGTACAACAAGCTGTAAACAAAATGCTATATGACTGTTTAAAAGGACTGAATGGATTAGTAAAGTGTATTAGTATGTCAAGAAGTCACTTCAGAGGCCTGCTGCTGCAAGTTCTCCCATGATACCCATGGGTAAAGTTTGGTGTCCTCAATATCTCTTGGCCCACATTGCCTGCTTGCCATCAAGACCTTTTCTGTAAGCGTCCATAAAGCACAGTGATTGAGTAGCAAACCTGCGTGAATGTAGATTAAAAAAGCTGTAATTTACTGTTCTCGTGACACCACAAGTTTATGACTTACTGGTGCATTGTGCACAGTGGGACAGCATCAAGCGCGGCAATGACATTGTGCTCTAAATTGGCCTCGGAATTCAATGGTGGGAATTGACAGTAGGTGCATTTTATGTGACCCCAGCATTGCTCGGTAAAATTCAGCTCACAGTGGAACTTGGGGAGAAATACGACCTGGAATCCTTGTGCCCTGCAAGTTACCTCGAGAAGGGACTCAACCTCTGCAAAATCAGGCTCATTATAGAGCATATGGCGCAAGCAGCAATGCGGGGTGTCTTTGAGGGAAAGCGGGGCATCATCAGCCCTGTCATCTTGTCTCTCGTTACACCCTCCTCCACCACCCTCACCCTGTCCGCCATCCTCTTCTCACCCGTAATTTACTCCCATGTCTTTGCCTCAACTTCCCGCTCTGTCCATGCCAGGCTCAAAGTTGAAGGTTATTTTGTTATCTCTGTGGGCCAGGAGGTAGAAATATTTTATACATGGTGAGTCTTTCAAGTTGGAATCATGTTATTAGCTAACAATACCTTTAATTGCAGGCATGATGTTGCATTGCAGATTCTTGGGCATCTCAGGCAATATTCATAAACATATGAAACATTTCAAGAAGCACTATCATCATACACCGTACATT